AAGAAAAGTAATCGACTGCAGATGGTCTAAATGACAGCGAGTATTCCGTATTTGAAGTGCTTAAGGTTGATTGCTTGAATGTAGGGTACCATGGATTTTAGGTGTTTGTATATTTACGTAGAATGTTGACATCTATAAAACCACCAAATTCGTTGTCAACAACATTAACTACATCCTTTGTCTTTATTTAGTGTAAAACTCAAGTTGGTTGCTGCTGTGTAACGTTTTCTGAAAAGCATCGAATGAACAATTTTGTTGGAGAGTCTATTGCAGCAGGGTGAGTAAATAATATGATTGAAAATGGTCACATACGATTCTATAGATTAATATCATGAGCAACATATTATCCTTCTCAAAGTTAACGAGATGACTGACAACGAGTTTGAAACTTTTATCGCCTCCCATCGGTGTTAATAGTACCTTCTGCATTGCAGTTAATAGAGTTTACTACTATTGCAGCCCCATTTGTCGTGCTTCTTGTTCGAGAAATACACTTGTCGACCTGACTGATGTGTCTAGGTGTGTCACTATGAGCAGACGCTTGATTAGTTGGGTGGAGTTCAAAACAGCGTTGAATAAATTCTAGCAAGTAGGAGAAACATATTCTTAAATATAGGAAATTGCTCATTAAGTGACACTAGGTTTAAGTATACATTTGTTGTTTTCAAGTGTACTTTCGGCCGAAAACGTAAACCACAAGGTTTAGGAATAATTAATAAACTCTGAGTATTGCAAATCTAAAGTGACATTTCAGGCCCAAGTTTCTGAATTGCTAGTCAATGTTCCGTATAGTTCTACAACTGGATTAGTACGTGATAAAGTTATGCCAGATGATACATAATCATCCTTGTGAAAATTCATGGACGATCTGCGATCTATGAACCGGCTGATTGTCTTCAGAGCATGAGGAAAATTTGATGCCAGTATTAATCCAATCATCATCTTTCAATCAACTGGTGGCATGTGTTAAAGAACCGACTAACCATGAAGTCAGGACAATGAAAGCAAAAATGTCTATAGGTAAGTATGTACTCTTATGTTTCCAGGCTGCGGTACTGGATTGTAAGTTTTCAGTTTCCTAAGACAATGAGGTGAACCAAGAGAAGTTTCTTCCAAAGTCGAACAGGGAACTTGAATCTGCTTTAGTAGCTACATTTAGAGCGCATTCTGTAAACAATATTCAGAAGTTTTGGGTATGGGTTTTACTTACCATACCAACAGCAAGAAGTGAGTATGCTGTTTGATAACTTTTACTTTGTAGGTATTCGTTGTTTCGGTTGGTGATAACTGATAACTTCGGTCGCAGTCGTCCTATTTTATTTACATGGATACAAATGGAAAGGAGAGTCTATGAGATCTGGATATTAGATCGGTTTACTGAAATAACGAGTGGCACGTTTAGGACGTAGATGTTCGCCATGGATTGTGAGTAGGCTGAGATCGCCGAAGTCCTAAACACCCACTGACAAGTCAACACAATCCTATGCGTCTTTCACGTTTGCCGTGGCTTTATAAAAAGGTGAGTGAATGCAGGTCAATAGCATTGTACTTAGTTAGGCCAGCAATAATAATTTAAGGGCCTATCTTTGACTCTTAGTTAAGGCGGAAACTGTTGGACGGTAATGCTTACAATGCAATTATTCTTTAGATTTAATCAATATTTTAGAATCATTTCTCGTGGATTGGGGCGGTATCTGAGTTGGTCATGGCCCAACAGAAAGGCTATGTGGGCCGCAGCTTTCAACGGCCACATAATATCACTGGAAAACATTAATGATAACCGTGTTGTGTCAATGAACCACCAATCAAAGAGGGATTACAATGAAGTAGAACCCTTAAGAACCATACACTGAATACTTCATTTGCAAATTTCCATCATTTGTCCTTCACATTCAGTATTATTCTTTCTATTCACAATTCCTTTGTATTTCCACTTCTGTTTTCTTCAACTCGATCTTCCTAGCGTTCTGCTACCAGGCATTCCACTTTCGATTATTGATAAATACTATTTATACTTGTCGACATCAGTACCACTTAATACATAGTGACTTCTTGAGATTTATTCCACATAAAAATATTGATTAGTGTACAAATTTCTGGACAATTGTATTGTGTCCATAGTTGTGTAAAGTTTATGTATTTTTACAAATAAGTAATCAGTAAATCATGAAAAGAAAAAAGTGGGAGAAAGACAATGTAAAAGAAAACGCATAACAAGAGAAAAATAAATAACGAGAAAAATTATTAATCTTATGTTACTTTGAAGTTTTACAATAAATGGCCCCCAAATGCCGTGATACGGCCGAGAGTGGGGAGAGTCCGCTCTTCTTCTCGAAACGCTCTCACATGGTCACGCGTATATAGCCTCTGCCAGGGAAGTCCTACTCACTGCCTTCTCCTGGCGGGGGTGTTACGAAATTGAGAGGACGAAAAGCAAAAACCGGCACTTTAACCGGGTTGGTGGACACGGAGAGTCCATGTAGGGGTGTTGTAAAACCCTGATCGTAAACCAACGGTGCACATGGGCTCCAGTATCCTGAAGGAACAAATGGTGTATGAACCAATGGTTGGTCACTGGCTACCATGGGACTGCATCTCATTATGATGCTCTACTGCCTTGTGGATCAGACCTTTAGGTCAAAGGCTCCGGGTGTTGCCCCCTAAGATAACCACTTGCTGCGGTTTGGTCACCCAGGCAGTATCACAGCCCTCACACAAATATCATTTGATTTGTGTGGCGCATATGTATCTGGTGCCCTCTTGTACCAATATCTATGTGTTCAAATAAACATATATATAAATATTACAATAAATGATTTCATTTTCTCATTTTCCTTACTTTTTATTGACGTCGTTATTTGATAAAGCCATGTGAAAAAGATTATTCTTTGTCTGATAACAATTACGTGATGGATGATTTAAGAACTTTACTAATTAATCACCAGGGCATTCATACATAGTCTAGGTGGATTGCCTTGATTGTATATTCTATTTACAAGTTAGCACGAAATACACCCGAAACTAAAAGTTACAAGATGTTCGACAGATTATAATAAGTGTTGGTAGGAAGCCAAAGAAAATAAAACAAAAGAAAATAGACATCCTCAATAATAACTCTGTGCAATAAGAGTATAAAGAACTAAGTAGCTATAACCATATCTCATTCAATCCTAAGATGTATTACTATCGTATTTAATTCATAGTTCTTCTCTTTGGCTATTCATTACCATTTACATTCAAACTCCCGAAAATCTTGCAACCCTTTAATGCCGTCAATTTATTGATAAAAAACTACATTTATGTAAGGATTGTTACTTTGTTTTAAATTGTATTTATCATAGCAACAGTTGCAGTGCATTTCATGATCCATTTAAAACGAATTTGTAATGTTTATAGAAAGTTCCTCTTTTTTGTTTTGAATTTCCATTCGTAAAATATATCGGTTACCTATATATATATAACACTGGGCCGGCATCCATTGATGTTAATGTTCAACCTCAACCAATCCACGAAATTGTGCGACCATCTTCCATTGTAACGAAGTAGATACATGTCTCTACCCTATACGCATTAGCTCCACTGGTCACGGCTTCTCACTAGAACTCCGAGAATTCTCTCACGAGCAGAATCGTGGATGCGCACTGCTGAGGAGTCCCACAATAAGACGAAATACTCATCCAAAGCCTCCAGGTTTTCAGTGGTAGTCTAAAATCAATCGGTTTATGATCTCAATCTCATATAGGCTATAGAAGATAACTTCAATTTTATTTGTTGTGAGTTCATTTACAGTATGAAAGTAAAACAAGTCACTGTTGATAATAGCGTATCAATGAACTGAATTCTTTAGTTATTTTTTCTTACTACTTATATACGGTTAATCAACCTTAATGAATGATAAAACTATCTAGCTAAACGTCTTGTTAGTCAAATAGAATAGGAAAGTCTTATTCGAATAGAATACCATAGATTTATTGTCTATAAGTAATATACATTTTAATAGTCAAGGAAGCTTAAATATCATTCGAGACCATAGATACAACACTATATTTAACCAATGTTCACATTGTTGTTATTGAATCAATATACACAATGCAAATTATGAGGTATTTACATGAACCTTATGGTATGTAACAAAAATGAAACACAACTCATATCCATATAATTTGTATAGTTGTTGTGCATGTATCCTAATGAATACATTTAACCTAACTACTTTATTACTTCTAGTTTCAATCAGCTACAAGGCTGATGGGAAAATAAGTGGGCGGTTAATTAATAACAAAAGTAAACCTTTATATACCATATATAACCTGCCTTTCGTCCTGCTTTTCCTTGAATTCATATATTAGCACCTATTATTTTGTTTAAATATATGGACCTTACCTAAAAATATATGAACTAGCTATATTTCCCTACTAAACATTATTGATTTATTATAAGGTGCATCTTATTTTTGATTGGTTGATTCAAATCAATAATAGTCTGTGCTGAATTTTAACCAATAGGATTTATGCTAAAATTCCCATCTCTATATATAATAATAATAATAATACAATTGCCTGAATTATACGCTGACATATTATTGTCGTTTCATCATATTTATTCGTACTTTGTTAACAATAATAAACTACCGCTTTTTATTTTCGTGATATCTATATTATTCAAGAGGAAATTTATACATATTTAATTGAATATATACAAGTAAGTTTCATTGAATTCATTGAAATTATTCTAGGAATAGAATACTACTTACAAAGTATAAAGTAATATTTGTTTTAATAGATGAGATCATGAGTCAGTTGAAGCTAAACCAGCATAGAAAACCTGTAGGCACTAAACGACCGTTTCGTCCTATTGTGGGACTCCTCAACAGTGCTCATCTACGATTCATGATCTCATCTATTAAAATTACTATCATATCCATAACACCTCTTCTGATAATATTTGTTTATTTCACTATTTTCTATTCTATTTAATAGATAATATACAGTGATTAAATAATGGATCCATCAGATCCAGATTTCAAATATTTGGGTGTAGATCGAAAAGCTTTATTAAAAGAATTGGCTAATTTTGATAGCAAAAATGTGATATGGGTTGAAGATGAAAAAGAAGGTTATATATTAGCTGATATTAAAGATACAACTGGTGATACAATTACAGTAGCACTTAAAGATGGAAGCGTAAGTATAGAAAAAACATTTTTTTATATATTTTATTCATACTAAGTATTTTAATTAACTACTTATTATATACACTGCATTATAAATGTTAGATCTATCGAAGCGTCTAAGTCACCTGATTGAGATACGCGCAAAACCGAAGTTTCCAAAACAACGATTTGTCTACAATAGCGGTTCTTTATTGAATAATAAACAAAATTTGGTTACAAACCTCAATTTGTGAGGTATCTGGGGCTTTTAAACGCGTCCTTCAAGTATGAAAATAAAAAGGCTTCCTGTAACAGTAACATAAAGAAGGATTATAACATACGATAGTACAAAGGACAGCTGGTAGCTGTGTCTAAATTTGATAACAGTTTATGAACAACCGAAACTCGAACCAAGAGCAAAACAATATGGAAGCTGTTGCGTTTAAACAAATGCACAAAACTGTGGATAACCGTTATAGTAATTAAAATACAGTGATTATAATGATAAATACAGTGATAAGTACAATAAACGTTAAAGATATATGTGAACATTTCAGAATGTTACAATACAACTCGCGTTAAAACATATGTGTAAAAATTGTTGGGAATACAACTGCTTAGTGAATGTAAATAAGTAGTATAAAACAACATACAAAAGAGTAGAAAGGGAACGAGTAGGAACAACGTAAGACAAACTTAACAATAAATAAACTATACTTCTAGTAATAAGCTGGTGTTAATCGAATGTACGAGTATATGATGAGGTTAATCTGGTTAGTCAAACGAGTGAACTATCTCAATTGTACGAATACATATCAATAGTTTATTTGATCATGTACTCGTATAGCCATCATTTAATATTAAGATCAGTTGCACTGTTTTGGTTTTTTCTCATCTATAGCACTTTACTACTTATAATTATAAAGTAGTAAATAGTATCAACTAGAATTTCAACGGAGTTTTGTTAGTTTGACATACTTAACTTGACATGGAAGTAGTTTGTAGTTTGTCATTATCGATTAGTTAATCACATACTTTAGTTAAACATCAGTTAGTGGCATATTGATAATTGAATTATCATTAGCTGATAATTATTTATTGTTAGTATTATTAATGGCTTTATTCAGTGTTATATTTTTGGTACAATATAGACTTCTCAGCACAAAACGGTTTCAGAATCAGATGAATTCCAATGGTCAAATAAGATCACAGGATAGACAGACATCATAATCCATTTCGAAACATTTGATTGAGACGCGTCATAAGGTTGATATCAAATCAGCATTTGTTGTGTTGTACAAGAGCCTTCAAGGACGTATACTAAGGTTTATGGAATCCTTGGCTGTACAGAAATTGAAACCTCTTTTTTGTGTTCAAAAACAATTTTTCCTTACACTTAACCTACCCTGGCAATACTATTTATTATCCAGAGTGGTAATCACATTTGTTTTTTATGTAAAAAGTATTTCAACAAGTTTGCATTTCTTATTTCTTGATCGATTCTGACGATAAATATTGAATGGTCACCAATTAGATGTTAGAAGTTCAGGAATGTATATTTTTTTCGATGCATATTGTCAGCAACCACGATATCTCTGTTTTCGCTTTTTTTGCAACTGGTACAATAGAAGGTTGTAAACATTTCATAAATGCACCGTAATAGATTATGAGACCAACAGTCATAATAATCTATTAAAACAAACAAGAAAACAACTAACCTATTGAAATATCCAGATGATAAGAACAGGTGACCCAGATATTAAAGCAGACTGCTTTCTTGCTGTTACTATGGTTATTAAATTATTTCATTAACGTTATTCATCTTTTATTTGAACAGGAAAAGAAAGTTAAAAAAGATGATGCACAACAAGTTAATCCACCGAAATTCTTTTTAATTGAAGATATGGCTAATTTGACACATTTAAATGATGCTTCTGTTTTGGAGAATTTACGTGCACGTTATTATAGACAATTGATCTATGTAAGTTTCATTTGATTGTTATTGGTGAATAATTTTTATAAATGTAAACTAATTTCAAGCTTAACAATGAGTGTAACATATAAGCTTTAGTAATTTGTTAGGTTATAAAATACTGGTATATACATAGTGTTGTTTCCATTATTATCGAAAGAAGTCATATATATATATATATATATATATATATATATATATATATATATATATATATATATATATATATATATATATTTGATATTCATGAAGAGTTTCGTCGTTGTTACCAGGGAAGTAAATTCCTATAAACGACTAGATTTTACGGAGTATATATTTCTTACATAATTTGTAAGGTGATTATCGCGAAAAAAGTGTTTTCATTTGATTTTGTTATAAGTTGTTACCGCCGATTAGAGGGTAGTGATCAATCGGATCAATGGCGCATAAATCCGTATGAGCAGCCTAGAGTCTTGATTGGTCCTGCTTTCCGCCTAGCCTAGCCAGTTAAGTCCAGAACATCCATCCGAGCTTCTGCGATATGAATCATTATATTTCAAACACACTGATTTTATATACCAATCAAACAGAACACAATGTACCAATAAAATAGGAAACAAGATTTGTACAAGAATTAGCCAGATGTGTCTATGAATGAGGGAGGTAGTAATTAATATAATGGGTATAGCTCAAGAATGGTAAAACGTATAATAATAGTTTGTGAGTCAAAATAACGCTTGTAATAAGAAGAATATAAATATGCATAGTTTACTTACTTAATAATTACACAATAGAAATATACGTTTAGTATTGGTTCATAAATGGATCCCAAAAGTTACCATTCATTATTTTTGATGGGACATAACAGATTTCAACTACATCTTCACAAATAATATGCTTTCAAATATATGTAATTTAGTAATCTGTATCCCAAATGCCATGGTACTGTAGAGAGTGGGGAGAGTCCACTCTTCCTATAGAAATGCTCGCACGTGGCAACACGTATACAGCCACTGCCAGGGAAGTCCTACTCACTGCCCTCTTGTGGCAGGAGTATTGTTTACACAAATCAAGTGACTTGTATGTTGCATATGTATTCAGTGTCCCTTTGTACCATTATTTATGTGTTCAAATACATAAGTAAATAAATCTGCTATTTATATTGCTTCTCTGTCATAATATGTGTCCTATTAATGTATAACGTGATAACACTACCAATTAGAGAACGGTAATTTATCGAAGAGTCCAATGAGGCATAAAATCTATACGAGCAGTCTAGAGTTCTTATCGGTCCCGCTTCCTGCCTAGCCCAGCCAGTTTACTCCAGAACACCAATCTCAGCTTCTACAATATCAATCATTTATTTCAAACGTACTCTCTTTATATACCAACCAGACAGACCACATCGTATCATGTGACTGTGAATGTGGGAGGTAGTAATTAATATACTGGGTATAACTCAAGAATGGTAAATCGTATAATAATAGTTCATAGGTCAAAATAAAGCTCATGATAAGAGGGACACAAATATGATCAGTTTAGTTACTTAACTATTATTCTAGTGAACACGAACACTAGTGGGGGAACAATCGAATGTATTTAACACAAAATTACAGCACTTGTTAATAAAATCTAATAATCATAAAGTAAATGCTTAAAATGTCCACCCATTGTCTTAGGCTTCATTGTTCTTTTATTTTCATACAAATTGCATCCTGTTCCATTCTTTACCGTTCGATCCTCTTGTCTCTCTGCTACCAGACCTTTTGTTCACGACTAACATCATATACTACTTATGTCAATATAAGTAGCACACACCACATTATACGATAAGAATATGTACGTATAGTATTAGTTCAGAAATAGTTTTCGACAGTTACCATTCATTATTCTCATCAGGATATAACAGTTTTAAGTGATTAAAAATCATTACAATAAAGTTATTGTCATCTTTTTTTTCTTACATTTTACTAGTCAAAAACTATTTACTTAACTTTAACTATTTCATTTTTAGACTTATTCAGGATTATTTTGTGTAGCAGTTAATCCTTATAAACGTTTTCCAATTTATACAGAACAAGTTGCATTAAAATATAAAGGAAAAAGACGTGGTGAAATGCCACCACATATTTTTTCAATTTCTGATAATGCTTATCATAATATGTTACAAGGTTAGTTACGATTCATTTATTCTTTTTCTAGTTTATTCATCATTATAAATGTTAATCTTATTTAAATAAAAATGTTTTCATATAATTTGCCTCATGTTGACAACTTACTCAAGTCTCAGAGTGAACATCTCTGAGATACAGGTACATCCAGCTGATGAGTCCCAAAATAGGACGAAATGCGCGTCAAACTGGATTCCACTGCTAGCCACTATCCATCATTGCTTATTCAATGTTTGTTTGTTTTTGTTTTCTTTTGAAAGAAAAACAATCACTGTATTCTTATTGATTTATTTTAATTCATTTTCAACAGATCGTGAAAATCAATCCATTCTGATTACGTAAGTTTCTTGTTTTTATTATATTTGAACCTTACACAAAATTTATTTGTTATAACATATATATGTATGTTAACAGTTGAGATCATGAGTCAATTGAAGCTAGATCACCATGGAAAACCTGGAAGCACTGGATGGCCATTAGGTCCTATTGTGGGACTTCTCAGTAGTGCGCATCCACGACCCCGCCTCGCGGGATTCGAATCCAGGACCTATCAGTCTCGCACCAGGCGCTTAACTAACTAGCTTCGATTGACTCATGATCTCAACTGTTGAAATTATTACAATCTCCACAAAACCCATCCTGATATATGTATTTAAAATGAAATTTTGTTCTACTTCTTGATAACTTTACTGGATTAGTTGTGGAACTATAGTGTTAGTTAAAAGGAATTATAGTAGAATGTATGATTTTTCATCGAGTGATAATCAATGATAATGTGTACATTTAATTCTGTAAGAAACAGGAGGCTTACACCCGATTCTACCGTTAGAAATATCTATCGATAGAATGTTCATCTTTAAAGGAGACTAGACAGATATGACACTAATTACTAATCAGTAGTAGATCATTCATAAGTATCTTATTCGTAGAGGTGGTTAGTTATGACTTGAATGACAGTAAATAAAGCTTAGTCAAATTTGTGAACAAAACTATTTATCAATATTGTTAGTTAAGCGAAGATAGATATAGATGAAGTATAGATAAACTATATGTTCTCGAAGATAATGATAATTGTATTTGAGGATGTCGCATTTCCAAAAGACGAAACTTAGGTGATGTAAACCCACAACCCAACATATGATAAAACGTAAGACTTTCGAACATTGACGCTTGAACCACTTTCTACTCAAATCAGTATATTGCATAGCACGATCCTCTATAATTTGGTGACTTCAAACTTGGAATGATTATTAAAAGTCAATCTAATCAATATAGCATATATAGTTGTGCAAGTGTACTGTAGCGTGAACAATAATGGTTGATATCCAACTAAAAGAAAATGATCAAGTCAATCTCTAAATTGAGAATCTACAAAATAGTTATCATCAAATGCTTAAAATCAATTTCATACTTTCCATATCCAAGATATATTTATCTTTTTCTTATTAAAACAGAGGTGAAAGTGGTGCCGGAAAAACAGAAAATACAAAGAAAGTTATTTCATATTTTGCTGTTGTTGCAGCAGCTTCAAAGAAAGAGGATGATGATGCTAGTAAAAAGGTTTGTATTTGATGATGAAAAACAATAAACAAACATTATTTCATCATCTTATTATATGAAAATACTTAGTATTTCTTAAATACATAGAACTATATTTCTATTATTGCTATACTCTCTGAGATAGATGAGTTAATTTATGACAGATTGGTCATTATCATTCTGAACAATCTCATCAGTATCTATTGAGCTGTGAAGTGGAAACATTAAACATCTTTGTGATCATTACAGCATTATGGGCGAGACTATAATTTATGGACAAACCAATCAGATTTATGATAACAGATCTTGGATTTCGGCGCGAAATTCACTCATCTATTTTGGCTAAATGGAGTTTTGGCATTTTAGTTGATGCCAGTTTGTGATGAAACCATTAAATCTAATCCCTATACCTAACCATCAAATGTAAATCAAAATCCTTATCGTTTACACAGGTTTAAAACCCTCACTTAGCCCCAATCAGTAGGTGGACATTCTCAAAGTCTCAAAGTCGCTCAAAGGTCGTTTTAGATTTAGATCACTCCAAGAAGCTTGAATCAAGAACAACTAGAAATGTTGACAATATAATCGAATATTCAAATCAAGTTTATATGTTTATATAGTTACAATCTACCTTGAAGTTAATGAATCTGATTAGTGAGATTAGGATTTTTCCAAACAAATTTACTAACCAGATAGGGGTATTATGAGCGTTTTATAAATTTTTTTTATTTATTGTAAGGTCAGCTTACATTGTTACTAGTTATTTATTAATCATCAGGAAGGGGCTTTTGTGTATATTGTAGTAATTTAATGCTTGAATTCATGAGTCAATTAAAGTTAGACCATCATAGAAAACCTGGAAGCATTAGACAACCGTTTCATTTTGGTATGAGACTCCTTAGCAATGCTTATTCGCGATTCCACACGTGGAACTCGAACCCAGGACCTTCGGTCTCGCACACGAACGCTTAACCTCTTGACTACTGAATTGAATCCATACATTAAATAATTCGTTTATTCATAATATTTAATTAGATGAACAAAAAGAATTTTAAACTCAATAAACTAACGATTAGCTGAGCGAAAATAGCATAATAGATGTTCACAGTAATAATGGTAATAGTAATAATAATAATAATAATAAATAACAATTTTGATCAAAATTATGAATTTACCAAGGAAATGATAAGTTAGTAACTGTCTCTTCCAAGTACTTGGAAGTACTGAATAGATATTTCTTCCTTGAAGTCAAAAAAGTAAAGCACTAGTTAATAACTTAATGGCTTAATGGTTAAGTGTTAGCTATGAGATCTGAATATCTTGGGTTCGGCCCGTTATAATAAAGTCGTGGATGAACAATGGTAAGAAGTTCCCCAACTAAGACAAAATAGCTATCCAGTAATTTCTAGATTTAAATCGTTACCTAACTAAGATCAGCTCTTGATGAAATTTAAGTCATTAATAACTCCTTGCATTAATTCAAGAAATCATTTGAAAGTCAAGTAAGGTGATGCATAGCTTATTTCACTGTGAATATCTATTTATTATTTAACAATATTTTGTTCTTTATTCAAATCAAATTGAAATCTTCTTTACTTTTTTTTTAATTAGGGAACACTTGAAGATCAAATTGTTCAAGCTAATCCAGTTCTAGAAGCATATGGTAATGCAAAGACTACAAGAAATAATAATTCATCTAGATTTGTAAGTTATTATACATTTTCTAGATAAGGATAAATATTATTTTTCTTTCTTTTCAAATTAGGGAAAATTCATTCGTATTCACTTTGGTACAACTGGTAAAATCGCTGGAGCTGATATTGAACATTGTAAGTTGTAAATTTAACAACAACAGAAAATATGAGTGAGATCATGAGTCAATGAAAGCTAGACCACTATGAAGAACTTGGAAACACTGGACAGCCATTTCGTTCTATTGTGAGACTCCACAGCAGTGTACATCCACGAACCCGCCTCGCGAAATTCAAACCCAGAACCTATCAGTCTCGCGCACGAGCGCTTAACCACCAGACCACTCAACCGGTATCTAATGGTGTTAATGTTTAAATCCAACTAATCCACGAAATTGAGCAACACATCCACCATTGTCATCAGTGAGTTACTATCTGACAACTGACCCGGTTGAATTCCACTGGTCACTACTTCTCACTAGAACTCCAGGATATACATATTGAAGCCAGTCACTAGTGAGCATATGTTGATTAATATCAGAAGAAGCATCACAATAGGACAAAATGAGCGTCTTTCAGGTTTTCCATGATGGTCTAGCTTCAATTGACTCATGATCTCAATTATTGAAATTACTATAGTATCCACAAAAACCTCTTGTGATATTAGAAAAAATAATTGTATAACTAATCAACTCTTTCTTTTTTCTAAAAGATTTGCTTGAGAAATCTCGTGTAGTTTCACAAATGAAAGGAGAACGTAATTATCACATTTTCTATCAATTATTATCAACTTATGGTTCAAAATATCACGGTAAGTTCTTCTTTCTCCTGTGGAATGTGTCTGTGAGGTTTATTATTTTTATTATTGAACATTTTAAGGAATAATAGTTAATTTATTGAATGATTTGTAACATGAACTTAGTTAGATAATCATCGGAAACTAGGAAGCATTGGACAGGTGTTTTGTTCTCGTATGGAAGCTTTCATAGATGTTCATCCATGATTCCACCACATAGGATAGAGTTTAAGAACTTAAGGTATGACAGATAAGGTTTAACTTTAAGACCACTGAGTTGATATCTAATGGTTAATTATGATCATTTTTGTATTTGCTTTTTAGACAAATTATTAGTTCAAACTGATCCTGCTTTATACAGTTTCATTAATCAAGGAGAGTTAACTATTGATGGTGTAGATGATAGTGAAGAAATGAAATTGTGCGATGTAAGTTTAACTGAATAGTAATTGTTTGTCAATCAAGTTACTTACTTACTCTTAGGTCAGAGTTTAAATGGTTAAAATGATATTTTATGGTTATGGGGCTGTTAACCCCAATCCTAACCCTCCTTCTTTATCTGGGCTTGGGATCAGGAATAATCCTAGATGGTCTGCAGGCGGAGTTTATATTAAGATGATTGTTTAATAAACTAAAGATTTCAATGACATAAATTTATTTGAGCTGAAAACCATGGTGTAACAATAGATTGTTCTATAATTCATTTCTAAATTTCGTATAAATAACTATGCTGTGCTTCTTTTTGTTTCGTTAACACAAATTTTATGTATCAGAGTAAATGTTACATTCAAACTATGCTATCCTACCTAATTACTCAGGTTTGTAATAGCAGTCTGTAAGTTTTGATATGAAATCTAAGAAATACTTACAATTATCTATCATGAAGTGAGTAATCTCTAGAAACAAATACCTTGAAAGAACAAAAAAGTCTCGTTCTATGACAGATTATGAGTTCCAATCTGTTCATTAGCTAATCAATTGTATAAAGCTTCCAAGTCATTCTAAGATGATCATGTTCGACATTCAAGTATAATTTAACGAAACGTTTTTTAGATTAATATTCAAAGAGAAAAAACAACCTTTGGGACTATTAGGAAAGAATAGATTGCGAATATTTCATGTATTCTAATGTGTTCAGTTTCCAGAGGAGTATCCACACCCTACTAAGCTTTATAATGTTGTAAAAAAATCCACTTGGGGAGATATATTCATACCTCCTAAATCAATAGACAAATGTACAGTCTGACTGATGATCAATGTAGAAGTCAACTATACAGTTAGTTAACAGTTCGATTGGTGATTTCATGAAATTAAATTAGGATAGTGAAATGGATTACATAGAAGGTTTCTACGTTGTCATTTCCATGGTTGTCTAATTCAGCTTTATATACATATGTTTCCTATGAGCTTGCTCAACCTCTTATACAAATAAGAAGATTAAAAAATGACTAGAAAGTTGTAATTGGGAAACCGAATTAATTTAATAGAGTAGTACAAACACATGGTGTGTCCAAACTCGTCCAGCGTATCATTCTGACTAAAATTTATTTTTATTATTTGAAAAATACATATATTCCTTTTTTAATCAGAGAGGGGTTTTGTGGATATCATAGTAATTTAACTGTTGAATTCATGAATCGATGTAAGCTAGACCACCATTGTAAACCTGGAAGCACTGGACAGCCGTTTCATCCTAGTATGGGACTCCTCAGCAGTGCGCATCCACGATCTCGCCTCTTGAGATTTCAACCCATTACTTATCAGTTTCACTCGCGAGCGCTCAATCACTAAACCACTGAGCCGGCATATAACGGTGTTAATGTCTAACTTTAAGCAATCCACGAAATCAAGCGACCCATGCGACATTGTCATCAGTGAGTTGCTGTCTGACAACTGACCGGGTTGAATTCCACTGGTCACCACTTCTCACTTGAACTCCAGGAAATAACTTTTGTTTTATCACATCCTTCAATTACTACTTACCATTGTCTTTTTTTGTTCTTAGGAAGCTTTTGACGTTCTTGGATTTAATGATGATGAGAAATTATCATTATTTAAATGTACTACATCAATTTGTAATATGGGTGAAATGAAATTTAAGCAAAGACCAAGAGAAGAACAAGCTGAAGCTGATGGAACTGCTGAAGCAGAAAAAGTTGCATTTCTTTTAGGTGTTAATGCAAAAGATCTATTGACTTCATTTTTAAAACCAAAAGTTAAAGTTGGTACAGAATTCGTAACTAAAGGTCAAAATTTAAATCAAGTTAGTAAATTTTTATTGATGAACAGTAATCCATAATGAAATTATAATAACTAATTAACAATTCATTTGCTTGAATGGATCAGTCTCTTATTGGCATATGGGCATCCTGTGCGGATCGCTTTAATGTAGGTTTAATTCACAAGCATTATCAGCAAAAATGGATGGTAGCTAGTAGTGAAATCGAGGACTCATGTTTCGTCTCGTATGGGACTCATCAGCTGGATGTACCTGTATCCCAGAGTTGATGTTCACAAATGAATATTTACATTCACATTTTTTTCATGAAAAGAAATTCATAATTCCAATTAATTGACGGTTTGAGTTATTTTTTCTGGTTAGCACTTTTTAGTGAGTTAGTTTTCTACGGGATTTGGTCGCTAACACCATGCACAATCCTTCTCCTTTATCCTTGCTTGGGACCGGCTATAGCACCTCAGAGGCTCTAGGCGAAGTTAATTACTTAGCTGTGGCTATATATTATTGAGTAACGCTTAATGTATCTCTCATCATATATCGATATTAATTTTCAACCTCTAAATAGTGCCTAAATTGTACTCTGATTTGTATTGATAATAAGTGTCTCATATTGTGCGGAATTATCCAATTAGTTGACAGTTTATTCCTTCAGTAAACTCCTAAAATTATTTAATGTTTGTATGGCTGCAGTTCTCTAAGACATTTTCAATGTTCAGTAATTGTGGTGTTCCTAATGCTTTCATTCATTCTCCCGTTTATTTATTGGATGAATGGTACACATTAGAGTGAGATTTTAACACCGGCTTGATTCCAAGAGGGTGAAGTTATTCGCAAAGTTCTTCTTGAACGTGTATAGCATTCTGTACTAATATACAGTTAAACACCCTAAATGAGCAGTAAAATGACCGAAATTACTGCTTACCAAACGTTAAGCAAACATCAAAAACGTTGCGGATAACGTCAGTCGCTTTTTCATGTCTATTTGATGATAGGTGACACTCTTGAAATTATTTCATGGATTTTGCTTTAAAACATGAATAGCAGCCCATATCGCTAATGAATCATCATCGTACTTGAGATTTCATTGACTTTATAGTTTACCACTTCTTCATTTAGAACCTAGCTACTAGTGGGGACACCAATAATGTTTAATTAAGTGGTTTAAAGAAATATACTCACTTTGACGAGAAATGTTAAGAGTGCATGGACCACTGTGGTAAAGATTTACTGTAAATTAGCACTCCACAAGTGGAGGTTAAAAAGTAAAATCAGGTATATAATATTAGTTGATTAGAGATCGTTGACACGAAACCCTGTAACTAGTTAACGTTAAAACATAGTAAATACAATGTCTAGTTTCTCAGACTTGAGATCAAACTACAACTTGATCAATTAAATTATATTGCCACTAAGAACTAAACAAACATGACATTGGGCACTACTTAGTGACTAGTTAGTTTAGATGCATAAAATGTTTATAAATGGTTACACCTAATTAATTGGATAAACCTTAGTTTACAATCGACTATATAGTTGCTAAAATCAATTTTTATTAGAATAATGGGTTCAGGGAACTGTTTCATCCAACTATGAGGCTCCTCATTGGACTACTGTTTTACAGTTTTGTCCGTAATAATTATAACATTATCATATTCTCTTTTAATAATAATAATAATAATAAATTTTCAATTTATTTCAACAATAGGTTACATATGCAGTCAGCGCTTTAGCTAAATCTCTGTATAATCGTATGTTTGGTTGGTTAGTAGCTCGTGTCAATAAAACTTTGGATACAAAAGTTAAACGTCAATTTTTCATTGGTGTACTGGATATTGCAGGTTTTGAGATTTTCACTGTAAGTTTTATTATTATTATTATTATTATTATTATTATTATTATTATTATCAGCTTTATTCAATATTATATTTTTGGTACAATATAGAATTCTCAGCACAAAGTATTTCAACAAGTTTTCGTTTCTTTCTTCTTGGTCGGTCCTGGCGATAAGTATTGAGTGATCTCCAGTTAGGTGTTAGTAGTTCAGTAAATGAACATCTGAATAATGTGCATTCTTTTCGTTGTATATTGCCAGCAACTACATTGTCTCTTATTGAGTTTTTTGTAACTTTGACAACGAAAGGTTGTACACTTTTCAGAAACGCAGCAGAATAGGTCATGTGATTAATAAACATAATGATATATTAAAACAAACAAAAGTAGATAACTTGTTGAAATATTTATTATTATTATTACTGTTTGTAAGTAATATAACTTGTAGTCTGTGTGCCCTGCTAGTGTATAACGTGATGATACCGGCATTTAAAGAACGATAATTTATCGACCATTCCAATGAGACATAAAACCCATACGACCACTCTAGAGTTCTTATCGATCCTGCTTCCTGCCTAGCCTAGCCAGTTTACTCCAGAACACCAATCTCAGCCTCTGCAATATCAATCATTTATTTCAAACATACTAGGTTTATATACTAACCAGACAGACCACATCGTACCATAAAATAAAAAATAACATTTGTACAAGAATTAGCCAAATGTGACTATGAATGTGTGAGAAATTAATTGATAGACAGGGCATACCTCAAGAATGGTAAATCGTATAATAATAGTTCATAGGTCAAAATAAAACTCGTAATTAGAGGGTTCATTGAATTTTCGGAATTAATAACGATGACAATGTTTATTTGTTGATGAGTATTATAGAATTAACTCGAGCTTTGTCATTTTTCAAACAGTTCAACAACTGAGATGAAGGAGACTATTTATAGCCTTGGTATTTTGATGGAGATTTTCTATTCACTGACCTTAACGGGTTCGTTTGTGTCCAATTATCTAGAATACAAAACCTTCAAAACGTCGAACAATTATTGGTTACACAAATTACAGTGGCATATTTACTAATGGAATCTATGAGGTGTTTATGATCGTAATAACAAGCTTTCTTCAAATCCATATTTCTTATTTGGTGTGGACTTATAACATTTTGTATTCTAGATGATACCCAACTTTATGAATTCAAGAACTTTGTTCTAATCATATATGTTACCCAAACTCTTGATTATTTATCTCTTACTTGATTGATATTATTTCAGATTTAACACTGAATGCACTCTGAGTAAAAACCAATGTCACATTTATATAGCCATTTAGTTGTAGTGCTAAAGGAATAGGCAAACATGATATTGGTCACTATTCAGTGATCGCTCAGTTGTGAGTTTCCTAACCATGTAGGAGAGCAGTTTTATCTGGAATAGAACAGTCATGAAGTTTGGGATTATGAAACTAAGTGACTATGGTTTGAAACCCACAGAAGGCAATAAATCCTCAACATTGTCAATATATCTTGTTGAAGAGTCCCAACTAGTATGAAATGCAGATCCAGGATATCCATACTAACTACCTCTAACTACTAATTATGATTGATATTATATTCATTGTTAGTTCATTTTTGTGACTTCATGACTTGATAAATTCTTTTCATCTTCGTATTAACCTTTTTTCATTATCCAAGGAAAATGGTTTTGAACAAATCTGTATTAATTACACGAATGAACGTCTACAACAATTCTTCAACCATCATATGTTTGTCTTAGAACAAGAAGAATATAAACGTGAAAAGATTCAATGGACATTTATTGATTTCGGTATGGATTTGCAAGCTTGTATAGATTTAATTGAAAAGGTAAATTATCCATTTTTTCAAACTACGAGTATTCTGACGCTGGAAGTTATTCACACGCAGAAATCGTAAAATAAAACTAAAACGGTTTGTTCAAAGTGCAGCACCGTCATAGGAACCAAAATAAAAACTAATACTTCAGGTAAAATACAAATCATGAGATTTCAGGGCATAAACTACAACTTTTAAAGCGTAGATGAGAGAAATGTATTCTTCAAACAATTGGAAAGAGTACAATGTTATCATTTTTTAAAAAACCAGAAACCAGTACTTGTCTACGTTGAACTGAAACGTTGTCAATTAATGGCAATAGACTAATTGTTCCATGTAAGCAAGGCTTAAAAGTTTAGTTTATACAGGTAAAACTGGACGAGGAAAGAAGGGAAAAAAGATTTCATAACATTATGAATGAAGCCAAACATGTAAATAGGAGGATAAAGTTTATATCGTGTTCGCGTAATTCATCAAGAGGTAATAATGCGCAACAGTATGCAAAAGTTAGAAACACTCAAGTACAACCAGACTACTTATTGTCATTAAGTAGTTTATCGCTAAACATTAAAAATAAGTAGCTGTGAAATGATCAACTAATTCGAAACAAACATGTTCACCAAATATCTGAGACTGATTAAATTCTGTCTGTATAATTCTTAGTGCAGCCTCTAGAATAAATGATCAAGAACTGTAGATTTTTTAACCAGTCCAAATAGAATGCTGAAGATCCCAATCTGAAGGGAAGCATAATTTCTTCAACAATAATTGATGAGTTTCAGGACTTGCCATTTGATAGCCTTTGAACAGCTTACAAATAAATGGACAGATAATAGCTTAGATTTTTTCTGTGTTTATATTTTTGTTCTAATAACTTGTTGATTATATTTCTGGATACATTTTAGAAACGATTTGCTCCAAGTATTAGGATAAATCGTTAGTCAGTAGTCATATCACTTCTATGAATTTTGGTATAATAAATAGCTACTGAATCTGTGTAGACTATCCGTTTTACGAGTCAGTTTTTTAACTTTAAGAAAAAGGATGAATTGACAGATTTGACAATTTTTACATTATCCATTCATCACAGACTGATCATATTTTGATAAATATTGGAAACTAGTGTTGGCTGAACAGCTATTCTGTTGAATTAATATCTCCCGATTCTTGCTTATAGCGTTTATTTCTTAGGCTACTGACCTAAGATCCAATCGTTTAGAAGTCTAGCTTCAACCAACTCAAGTGGTTGCGCAACTGCATTTTAATGCTATTGATAACTAATTACCTCAAATCTGATGTGGTTGAACTCCACTGTTTGTAACGTCTTATCACAACCCAGTTAATTAGCTCTTAAAATTAATCACTAGTTAACATATGGGCAAATTATTAACATAAAAAATTTAATGGAAATACATTATATTTCAGTTTAACAATGTTTGCAAACATTACTTGTTTGTTTCTCTTCATTTTTTCTAGCCTATGGGTATCTTGTCCATTCTAGAGGAAGAATGCATCGTTCCCAAAGCTTCGGATCAAACATTCTTGTCGAAATTATATGATAATCATTTAGGTAAAAGCCCTAATTTCACAAAACCGAAGCCGCCGAAGCCAGGACATGTAGAAGCTCATTTCGAATTGCACCATTATGCTGGATCTGTAAGTATATATATATCCATGTAGTTTTGTCTTGTTAAAATAAAAACTGTATTTCTATATTCATTCAATTAATTGTGTCCCATGAAATTTGCAACATTATTTCATGTGAATAATACAGTTCTCAGTATATGGCTGTGGAGATTGTTGGGTTTCATTAATATCATGAAAAGTTCAGGCGTTAAACCGAAGTTCCTGTATTCGATTATCATATGCGTGGCTTGTGAATGAGCACTGTCAACGAGGCTCATGTCAGCGTAAAACAGCCGTTTGTTTACAGTTTTACTTTGCAGTGATTTTGTAGAAGATAAGAAGACTTTTATAAACCCTGCTTTTTATATACTACCTTTATGTAACTACTCAATTTCAAAAAGCAATGTATTCACTCTTGTTTTTCTTATGATCTATCATTTTCCTAGGTTCCATACACAATAACTGGATGGTTAGAAAAGAATAAGGATCCACTTAATGACAGTGTAGTTGCATTATTAGGTGGTAGTAAAGATCCTTTAGTATCCAATCTATTTACTCCAGTTGTCGGTAAGTATCTATTTACTATTATAAATTAAATGACATTAAAACGATTAAAGAGTTTAATGGCAAAAGCCTAATAGTTTACATAACAAAAACTGATCTAATTTAGACAATTATTTAAAAAAATAACCTGGCGACACAAATTAACTATTTCAATGTTGAAACTCATTAATGATACCACTAAAGATTGAAATCAAGATCTCTGGAGTTTCATAATTTCTAATTTTCCACGATTATTTATTCTTATTTGTTTATTTCAACACATAGATATTGGTACAAAAGGGCATCAGATACATATGCGCCAAACAAAACGCATTTGATTTATGTGAAGGCTGTGATACTGACTGGGTGCCCAGACCGAACCAGGCGGTTATCTTAGGGTGCCACACCCGGAGCCTTTGACCTAAAGATCTGATCAACAAGGCAGTAGAGCATCATAATGAGATGCAGTCCCATGGTAGCCGGTGACCAACCATTGGTTCATACGCCATTTGTTCCTTGAGGATACTGGAGCCCATGTGCACCATTGTGCAGTTCGATCTCTTGTAGCAATTACATTAGATCATTACTATTTTCTTTAGTTTTTATTATAAGATGAAGTTATCTGTAATCTAGTTATGTAACTGTTATTACATTCTCGATTTGTTTATTTACATTTTAACTTGTTAACAAATATCTTATTAGAATAACAGTAGTTGATAGTAATAGCTACTGAAATTAGTATCTTGTAAGTAGTATTTTAAAAAGAGATATAAATGGCTAATTATTGAAGAAAACCTTTTATCGGGAATCAGGCCTTAACTACTAAATATGATCTATGGTATTCAGATAGATATCTTCTTCCAACAGTACCAGGAGATTGATTGATTTAACTTTTTAAAATGTTCAATATTACATTATGGTTCTCAATTATAATGAACGCTATTTTCCGAAAAAAAATCATTAATTGTTTGACATATCGAACTGGGAAGATTCAATGGAAAAATTTGAATTTGAAAAGTACTCTATAGTTACTAAGGCGTTTTCTAATGAGTATTATTTCGTTAGGATGAAGTTTATTTTTGTTTTTAACCATAGTTCACATATTGATTGTATACCATCAAAGTAACAAGAATAAATTTCACATTTCGTAATTACTCACCTAAAAAGTTTTAGTGATATTAAAAATAAGAATTAAATATTACCGTGTATAGTTCGAATGTATATGATCAGGTGGGGGATGATTTGATAGTCACTAGCATTTTGGACAGATATCATCACTTGATTTACACATTAATGACATTTTCCAACTTGATTCTTTCTTTACTATCCAGCATATATGGTCAGAATTGATAATGGCTAGATATTAGTAACATATGTCCTAAACACTTTTACCTATTATTATTATTATTTTTATTTAAACACATAGATATTGGTACAAAGAGGCACCAAATACATATGAGCCACATAAATCATTCGATTTGTGTAAGGGCTGTGATACTGCCTGGGTGCCCAAACCACAGTAGGTGGTTTTCTTAGGGGGCCACACCCCGAGCCTTCGACCTGAAGGTCTGATCCACAAGGTAGTGGAGTATCGTGAGGAGATGCATTCCCATGGTGGTTAGTGAACAACAATTGATTCATACGCCATTTGTTCCCTCAGGACACTGGAGCCCATATGCACCACGGGTTTGGAATCCGATTAAAGCTCCGGACATTCGCTTTTCGTCCTCCCAATTTCGTAAACCACACCCCCGCCACGAGAAGTCACACTTTAGTAGATGAAGGTTCATACAGCACTTGAATAACTGATATTCACAGAAATTTTCTTCATTTACTAAGGTATGAAATCGAGTACAAAGTTAAAAAAATAGAATAAATCTATTACGTAATTATTTATGTTCATTAGCGATTAAGTTATGGTACCGTGAATATTATTGAAGTTGTATTTAGATATCAAATTATGAACAACTAATTAGATGACTAACATACAGTGTTTTCATCAAAAAATAATCAAAAATAAAATAGTATGGGACTGTCAGTAAAATCTAGGTAATATATTTCGTCCTATTCAAACCTCATCAGTTGGAACTATCTACATTTTCGTGCTGATGTTCACCTATTTTATTTATTTGAGCATCTATAAATATTGATACAAAAGGGGGCACCAATTACATATGTATCACACAAATCACATGATTTGTGTTATGGGCTATGATAATGTTCACATTAGGATTCAAACTTAGAATGTTAGTATCCATTGAGCAACTGATTTTAATTCATTTTATTTAATCTTTTAAAATGAGGAAAGTTCTTATTTTATATTTGTAAAAAATACATATGTATGTATGTATGTATGTATGTATATAGGTGAACCTGGTAAAAAGACGAAAGGTGGCTCTTTCTTGACAGTGACCTACATGCACAGGGTAATTATTATTATTACAACAACAACAATAACAACAACCAAACATATAAGCTAATAATTTAAATCGTATGCTGATCTATCTCATCTTATTGGACTGCTGTTATGTTGCTATGACATTTTGTTGACTAATTTATTATCTGCTTGCTGATGCTTTAAAAACACAAAAAAACGAACACAAATCAATATAATATCGATTAGTGATATCATTAAAAATCTAGGTGAATTATCCTTGCATATGTTGCTATAGTATGCATTTTCGAGAGAGAAAAAAGAAACTATAATACAATTTGCTTCATTTTTATTTCCATATATATATATATACATATATATGTGTTATGTTGTTTGTAGTAAATAAAACTTTAATAAGATTTAATAGAATGAATACAAAGACTATGGTATATTCAGTGAGACTATAATTTATGGACGATCCAATTAGATTTAGAGTAATAAATCTTTGATTCATTTATCCATTTGATTAAATAGTGTTTTAATCAAGATGGTGATTTGTGGTAATCAATAGGAAACTGTAGATTCGGGTTTTGTGCTATTTGGTACTCGTCAATAAGGTGTACCTGTAATATTGAAGGAACTGATGATCTCTGATGGATTCAACTCCATGTCATCCAGCTTCATATTCAGAGACGTTACCACTGAGATATTTGGGTGGCGACTGACTCCCTTTAGGACTAATCTAGGTAACTCTACATTGTGTCGATAGGATTTGATCTGCTTAATCACCGCCTAGTGATCAGTCGATTGTGTGTATTAGTCAGTTTACTTAATGTCAGTATGTGATAAAACTTTAAATCTAATGCCTAAGCCTAACCATGAATTGTAAATCGTTATTTTAATTCCTCACACTAGTTTATAACCTTTATTTAACCCTATGAAGTAAATAGATATTCTCTAGATCACTTTAGAATCATTCAAAGGTCGTCCATAAATTATAATCTCACCGTCTATTCAAACGATGTAAATTCACTGCATTATTATTATTTACAATTTATTTTGGCTTTAAATGCTTAAGCATGCTAATTGTAAACACACAGTGAATCATAAATTAAATTAATGATAACACAGGGTCAATTTATCATTACATAATGTTATATCTTGAATCTTCTTTTCCTTTCTTATTTTGAAAAAAACCGGTCGATTGTTTTCATTCACTTTCATCTTCGACCCCAATTTGCTTGTTTTCGTTCGGTATCAAGTATTAAAAATAAAAAGTAATTTCAACGAAATTACGTAGGAAATCAATATGAAATGTATTTAATATTGTTTAGATAATTCAACAGTCAAGATCATGAGTCAGTCGAAGCTAGACCGCCATGGAAAACCTGGAAGCACTGGACAGCCGTCCCGTCCTATTGTGTGTTGCTCAATTTAATGGATTAGTTGAATACCGGCTCAGTGGTCTAGTTGGTTGAGCGCCTGATGCGATTTTGATAGGTCTTGTATTCGAATCCCGCGAAGCGGGGTCGTGGATGCGCACTGCTGAGGAGTCGCACAATAGGACGAAACGGCTGTTCAGTGCTTTCAGGTTTTCCATGGTGGTCTAGCTTCAATTGAATCATCATCTAAACTGTTGAAATTATTACAATCTCCACAAAACCTCTTCTGATTGTTTAGATAAACTACATTACTTTATCAAACTGGAACTGTGAAACTTAACTTGATCGTCGTATTGAATATTATGACGATTATTATCATTATTGCTTTTACCTATGTGTTGTTGATTGTTTGTTTATTTTATCTTGCATATAATTTGCTTAATTTATTCTATACTACATCTTCTAATAGACGAAGGTGGAAAACGTAAAAAAGGCGGTGCTATGCAGACAATTTCTGCTGTTCACAGAGTACTCATGTTTTTTTGTTTGTTTGTTGTTGTTGTTGCTGTTGATATTGTAGATTCTTTAGTGAAAATATTTAGCCTATAATTGTAGTTGACTTGATTGTACCTTTCAACAATTTGTTGTAGACTAATCTTCTAATCGCTAATGTTTTTACAATCCATATATCTTAATCCCGCACGTAACACATATCAATTATATTGTATTACCTCATAGAAAATATGTAGAGAAATAATAGATGACAAATGCATTGCATTCATAATGTATTAGATACACAATACGATATTTGTATTTGTATGTGTTTGTATGCGTATATATATATATATATATATATATATATATATATATATATATATATTGGCTTGTTATGGTAGTAGTGGTAGTAACAATACCTGTAGTACTAGTAGTTGTAGTGGTAGTGCATCTTTTGGCGAAAAATCAATATTTTCACTCGGTAGATAATTTGAGTACAGTAGAATTTGTGAATATATTTACAATTTACTCCATAGATTCATCTTAATACTGTGTCTTTTTTCAAATGAGTAGTATGAAGTAAACTAGAATTCGATTTTCTGATAGATTATTGTGAAGTATATTCTAATATGTTGAGTATTAGGCAGTTGTCTTCAAATAAAATCGAAAAAAACGGTTATACAAATTAAACGTGTCAATCACTGGATGTCTTCTTCATGGCCTGAAGATCAAAAGTTTTTCGTAAGATCTGAGAATTATGAGTTCAAACTCCGGATGAAGTTGCGGATACACAATACTAATAAGTTTCACACTAGAACGAAAAAGATATCTAGTGCTTTCTGGTTTTCAACGACTTTTTAGTTAAAATCAGTTCGTTGTGAAAACTATGAAAATTCAAAACCTTTTGAAAATCCTCTATAGTATTGATGTTTATGTTGTTTTATAGTTCAAATTTTCAACAGACGATTCCTAAAGTTCTAGTAAGAGGTAATGACTAACGTAGTTCAACCATATTAGATGTTAGACAGTTACCTATGAATGAAAATTGAACATAGTTGTTCAATATCGTAAAAATAAAACAATGATTTAAGTTGAGATGGATAATGACTAGAAATGAAATGTAGAATGCACTTTTCGTACTACTTAGGACTCGTCAGATGAATGTACCTACATCTCACATTTGTCATTTATTCTGGGAATCAAACACAGCAATATTCACTTCAGCTACCGTCACGTTATTTATCCAACTAGCTACTGAGTCCCGATAGCCACTGACTTGGGCAACCGAGTGAAGTCTAATTCATTTATATTGGTTGTTTTTGTGTTTAAAACTGTAATTGATCAGTCTCTTTTCGACATATATGCATCTTGTACGGATCACTTCCATGTTATTATTGTTAGTCAACATCCATCATTGCTTATAATGCTTATGACTTAAGGTAGCATCAAGGCAATCCGTTCAGGATGTACGTATACCAAAATCATCATTACACTGAACAGCTATATTGTTTTAATTACGAAAATTTTAAGCTATGTTGATTCATAACCTAATCAAACCTGGAACGTTTCTATCATCTTGCGACTATCACACTACACTTGAGCTACTGAACTTGGATTTCTTAGTCATTATATTTTTCTATCCTTGTTAATTATTTTTATTAACTAGCTACAATTTTTATAGTTCTTTAACTATTCCAATTTAATTTTGTTATACATATTTATACTACTCACAAACATATTTCAGTAGTATATAAATAACTAATAGTAATAATCGTCTAGCACAACATTGATTGAACAAAAAAATTTCATCAGCATGTATTTCTTTATCTTTTCTTAATGCATGTGCTTGTATTAGTTAATTGTACTCAGGAATAGTATAAAATAAGCATGATATCATTGGTATTTGGTTTGCAGTTTGTTATTTCCTTATAGTGATGAGTATATTCTTTTCTTTTTTGGTTATCTTTCTTTTTTTGCCCTCTTTAAATTAATTATCTTGTGTTTATTTGTTCAATATTTTATTTCGCTTCATTTTAACATTGTAATAATTATGTGTAAATTTAGGAATCACTGAATAAACTAATGAAAAATTTACAAAGTACCAGTCCTTCATTTATTCGTTGTATTGTACCGAATGAATTTAAACAACCAGGTGAGTTGTATAGCTTCTGTTTTAAATACAGTTATCATTTAGGTATTTAATGTTTTATTTTTAATTCCGAAAGTGTATTTCATCATGAAATAACAATTTATAAATGTATGTTGTAAAACGTTTTAATAGTTGAATTCACGAGTTAATTGAAACTAGACCACCATGGAAAACCTAGAAGAACTGGTCAGTTGTTTCATCCTAGTGTGGGACTCCTTAGCAGTGCGCCCTCATGATTTCTCCTCGTGGTGTTCGAACGCAGGACTTGCCGATCTTGCGCGCGAACGCTTAACCACTAAACCACTGAACCGGCATCTAAAGGTGTTAATATCTTACTTCAACCACTATTATCTGCAGTGAGTTACTATGTCATAACAGACCTGGTTGAACTCCATTGATCACGAATTCTTATTAGAGCCCCAGGAAATACCTCTTGAAGCCAGTAACTAGTGAGCACCTGATGGTTATTATTATCAGAGGTGGGTTTTGTGGAGATTTTAGTAATTTACTAGTGTGAGATTCAAACCGTTATCATCTAGTCCTACAGTCTACAATGTTACTACTAAGCCAATCTGGCCACAACTGACTTATCGGAGTGAGATATTTACACTGATTGATCACTGATTAGTGACCAGTATGATATTTACCCAGTGTCCTAGTGTTGACCAGATTCTATCAACCAAGTCACAATGTCTCAAAGTGTAAAGCTTGATGGAGCAGCAGTCTTCTCGAGATTTCGGTTATACTATTATAACAAGTGCCGCCCACCACGAATCCTCGGTCCAATGTTTCCCGCTGAATACTTCAATTTTCTTAACGTTGGAGACAAAGTCTGTAAATTAATCCACTTCTAGTCATTTAAATAATTGTGTATACCACACCAAGTATGCAGTCTTATGTGTTCGACCACTCAATGGTATATTCTTATATATGATCTAAGTGACATATCACAATATATACGTAATGCCTGAAATACACTTATTAGTTGGATAATTTGGTAGTTTTAGTTATGCTCATTAAAAATCCTATTACAATTGTCTTGTAGTGTATGCTACGTATGCTGACAGATATAAGTAGTATGTAGCACTAATAGGAAGTGAAATGCTTTGCAGTAGAAGATTGAAATAAAGAGTACAGCAAAAAAGTCAGAGGGTAATCAAAATAAGAGCATAATTAGAGGAATAATAGAATATGTGAAGGACAACTCAAAGAAGTTGTTTAAACAATGTATTTAATGTACAACTTTCATATTTTATTATGCCACTGTGTGATTTTGCCTTAAACAATCAAATGGTCATCCCTGCTTAGGCTCTCGTTTATTACAAACTTGGTTAAATGATTATCTGTACATTGACTTTATATCTACGGAGTCTATAATAGTCCCTATGAAATAATCAAACTAATTACGAAGTAGACTATTGTAATTCCATAAGTTTAGTTACTACACAACAGTTTTGTATTACACCACAAATTATTATGTCTGGAATAACATCTAGTCATATAATTATTTCGTATAATTCATCATATTGAAATCATGAACCAATCAATGTTATACAACCATTGAAAACCTGGAAGTACCAGACGGTCGTTTCGTTTTAGTATAAGACTCAGCAGTTTGATGAGTTTGAATCTCGTATACAAGATCCTTAATGAGTACTTCTCAAAAATCAAATATACTAGAATGAAATAGTCGACTATAGCTTCCAGGTTTTTCAATGCTGGTCTAGCACTGATCAGTTCATAATCTCAATTACTATTCAACAATTTCCACAATCCTATACTAATAATTCATTATATATTTAAATCTAGTAAAACATAATCTAATCAACTAAAATCAATAATTTTCATTGATTTTATTACATTATTTAAGGTGTAATTGATGCTCATTTGGTTTTGCATCAGTTACATTGTAATGGTGTACTTGAAGGAATTCGTATTTGTCGTAAAGGTTTTCCAAATCGTATGATTTATTCTGAATTCAAACAACGGTAATTCAATAATTGCATTGTTATATCATAAATTGATTCAAGTTTATATGTATATCATTGAACATTGACCTAATAGTTCTAATAATGGATAAGTATTCATTGTGACATTTGAAGGTTCTATATTTAACTTTTATTGTGGTGATGAATTCTTAAATGATCTGATTCATTTCATACTAAGAGAAAATAATTATCTAGCATTGTCTTGCTTCCAACAATATTCTAACTGTGATTCGTTTATGACGAATAAATTTCCATAAAACTTACAGCAGTTGAGATCATGAGTCAATTGAAGCTAGACCACCACGGAAAACCTAGAAGCACTGGATAGCCGTTTCGTCCTATTGTGGAACTCCTAAGCAGTGCGCATCCACGATCCCGCCTCGCGGGATTCAAACTCAGGACCTATTTCCATCAATTGAATATAAATTAAAATGATTTATGTAAGATGAACAGATAATCAGAATAGATCATGCAATGAGGTGATGTAATTGGTAAAATGAAAATATTTTCCGTTTGTCACTTGTTACTGCTATAATGCCAGTGCTGACGACTGCTGGATACTCGATCGGTACACTGTATAAAGAATGAGATCCCATTATATCAAGATGCACAATTCATAAATTAATTTAGAAAACTAGAGTATTTAGAGTAGATAATATTCCACTCTACACAATTACAGGCCTGTTTTCACTAGCCACACACTATAAACATTTTAGTATTAAAAGAATTTCGTGAGACTATAATTTATGAACGACCTTTGAGTGACGCTAAAGTGACCTCGAGAGTGTTCACCTAATAACTAGGATCAAATGAGTGTTATAAACCAGGTTGAGAAATGAAAATTATGATTTACAGTTGATGATGAAGGTTAGAAATTAGATTTCGGGTTTTCATCATGAACTGACATCAGCTATAATGCCAAAACTCTGTTTAACCAAATGGATGAGTGAGATCTGTTAAATTATACCTAATTGGTTTGTCCATAATGTATAGTTATAGATGACTTACTGAATACTTCAAAATTTCATTATGTTTACATATAAACAAAAGTAAAAATACACTTGATATTGTTTTTACTTGAATCTTCCCATTGATGTTTTTAGGACTGAAATTGATCAGTCTCTTATTGGCATATGTGTATACTGTGCGTATGCCTCGATATTGCCTTAATTTACAAGCATTATAAGCAAAGACGGATAGTGGCTAGCAGTGGAATCCAGTTTGACGCGCGTTTCGTCCTGTCAGGACTCAGGACTCAGCAGCTAAGTGGATAACGCGATGGCATTTGAAGCGAACGGTACTGAGTTCGAGTCCCGGAGTGAACATCAACTCTGAGGTGCAGGTGCATCCAGCCGACGAGTCCCAAACAGGACGAAACGCGCGTCAAACTGGATTCCATCTTTGCCCATAAAAGTGAAAAGTTTCGAATTTTCTGAATAAAAAGAAACAACGAGTTAGATACAATTTAAGTTCATAAATGTATTCAATCATATATCAGGAGGAATGTAGAAGTTACTCACTGATGTTGCAAAGTACTTAAAGTGTGAAACTATTAGATTCCGCCTTTTTCATATCAGAGCTTCATGTTTATCTCCTTAAATGTGAAGTTTGATCTTTTGTAAGTTTCTTGATGGTTGGTAACTTTTGAGATCTAAATAGCTGGTTTGTATTCATCAGCTTTCCAGTCTTTGTGAATTAATGATGGAAATATAACAAATTATTTGTAGGATTCATTGAAGATAACAGTTAGTTGAAGATAATTGGTAGAATACCTTATCTTTCAAAAAACGTATCAATAGTCATTAGAGAGATGACATAATATTTAGGACTCGAACCCGTCTCATCTAACTTTACAGTCTGAGACATTTCCACTAGACATGATTAGCCTATAGGAGTGAGATGCATATACTACTTCTATGAATCCAGTGTTCGTCTTGTTGTGCTAATGAGGTGTGGCAACTTGGACCGATGCATGTATGTGATTAATCCTACCTTGTAAATGACTGACTAACAATGGATTGATCACTAAATAGTGACTAATCTCACATTCATTTAGTTCTTTTTTAGTGATAAATGAACTCTGTCAATGAAGTTACAATGTGAACGACTTGATATTTCATATATTTGAAGGTAGTCGACAGAAAATCTTTTTAGTATACTACTACAATAGCTTAAATCATATTAGATTATATATAATAAAACTAATCAAGTTATTTCTTTTCTCATATTCTATTCTATTTTCTTTCTTATATAAAGTTACTCAATTTTGGCACCAAATGTTATACCTGATGGATTTGTTGATGGTCGTCAAGTTACAGAAAAATTATTAGAAGCAACACAATTAGATAAAAATTTATATCAATGCGGTAATACCAAAGTATTTTTCAAAGCTGGTACATTAGCTCATTTAGAAGATTTACGTGATGATAAATTAAATGGTATAATTAGTTTATTCCAAGCAGAAATTCGTGGTTATTTAATGAGAAAACAATATAAAAAATTACAAGATCAACGGTAAGTGTTGCTTATGTCAAATCAACATCAATATTACATAATATAAAAAGATAAGAATCAAGGTGAAATGGTATCTGAAATGGTATAAAAAACAAAATAAGTCGATTCATGTGTAAAAACAAATTGTTTTGAAAGACATAAAGGGGGTTTTGATTTCCGTATAGCCAAGGCTTCAGTAAACTTTAGTAAACATCCTTGAAGGCTTTTGTATCACACTACAAATGCTGATTTGATGTCAACCTTTTGACTCGTCTCAATCAAATGTTTCTCAATGGAGGATGATGTCTGTCCATCCTGTGATCTTACTTGACCATTGGGATCCATTTGTTTCTGCAACCATTTTGGTATGTGTTCACCCACCGTTAATTGTAGGTCACGATTGTTCCTCCCTCTGTATGTGTTTCCGCACATACATGTAAATCGATAGACGCAATGGGATGTGACACAATCGTTTTCGTGCTGTTTGGGCTTTTGGTGAAACATAGACCTTGTCTTTTAGATAATGACAAGTTGGGCTGCATAAAATATCCGGTTGATGGCTAATTTATGTCTCCGTTTCATCATGAGACTATTTGTGTCGCATCGCTTTTTGGGTGCCAGAAGCGTCATAGGTCTAGTCGTATTGCATGTATGATGCTGATCACGTTTGTACAGTACCATTGAGTACATTGATTTTAAAATTACTAATTCCATCTAATTCCGAAAACCATTTCCATATATTCATCTTGAATTAAATGACAGTTATAAAGGTTGTTTCTTCTCGACGGTTGGAAATGAAATAAGAAAGTTACCTGTAAAAGAAACTGAGAAATAAATGGTCTTGATATCTTGAAAACTTGATCGCAACTGTTTGAAAATGGTTACACACTGAGTTTTGTGTGTTCACATTGTGATTTAAAACTTTACCACTTGTAGTGAAAATTCATGACCAAAGATGGGATGTTATATCTTAGACTAGACCATTTTTAATTTTCTTATTCTACTGGTAGCCTCTCCACAAGTATTAGTTGTATAAAGGGAAAAACACTTTATTATTGTCATATCCCGATACAATCAATAATATGATTTGACCTATAGACCTTACTCACTTACTTACGCTTGTTACTCCTAATGGAGCATAGGCCGCCGACCAGCATTCTCCAACCCACACTGTCCTGGGCCTTCTTTTCTAGTTCCATCAAATTCTTGTTCATTTTTCTCATGTCTATCTTCATTTGCGAGGTAATGTGTTCTTTGGTTTTCCTCTTTTCCTTTGGCCTTGAGGATTCCATGTGACGGCTTGTCTTGTGACGCAGTTGGGTGCTTTCCTCAATGTGTGTCTTATCCACTTCCAGCGCTTCTTCCAGATTTCTTCCTCCGCTAGGATCTGCTATTTATTATTTTTATTTAAACACATAAACATTGGTACAAGGAAGCACCAAGTAGATATGCGCCAAATAAATCATTCGATTTGTGTAAGGGCTGTGATACTCCCCGGGTGCCCAGACCGAACCAGGCGGTTTTCTTAGAGGGGGCCACACCCCGAGCCTTTGACCTAAAGGTTTGATCTACAAGGCAGCGGAGCATCGTGAGGAGATGCATTCCCATGGTAGTTAGTGAACAACAATTGATTCATACGCCATTTGTTCCCTCAGGATACTGGAGCCCATATGCACCACGGGTTTGGAATCCGATTAAAGCTCCGGACATTCGCTTTTCGTCCTCTCATTTTCGTAAACAACACCCTCGCCACAAGAATGCAGTGAGTAGGACTTCCCTGGCAGAGGCTGTATACGCGTGGCCGTGTAAAAGCATTTCGAGAGGGAGGGCGGGCCCACCCCGCTCTCGGCCATACCAGGGCATTTGGGAGATCTACCATAGACCCTACTTCATTTGAAATCTTGCAATTCAATCTATCAAAATCTTTTCATTTCTTTTCATTTTCTATTATTTTAATATTCTAGTGTTGCCCTAACATTAATGCAACGTAATATACGTAAATATTTAGTATTACGTAATTGGCCATGGTGGAGATTATATACCAAAGTGAAACCTATGTTAAATATAGCACGTCAAGAAGAAGAAATGAAAAAAGCCGCTGAAGAATTAGCTAAATTAAAAGAAGAATTTGAAAAATTAGAAAAATTAAAAAAAGAATTAGAAGAACAAAATGTCACAGTATTACAACAAAAAAATGATTTATTTTTACAATTACAAACTGAACAAGATAGTTTAGCGGATGCTGAAGAGAAAATTTCAAAACTTGTATTACAACGTGGTGATATGGAACAACGTATTAAAGAATTAGAAGAACGTTTAGCTGATGAAGAAGATCAAGCAGCAAATTTAAATGAAGTTAAAAAGAAAATGTCTAGTGAAATTGAAGAATTAAAAAAAGATGTAGAAGATTTAGAATCATCATTACAAAAAGCTGAACAAGAAAAACAAACAAAAGATAATCAAATACGTACATTACAAGCTGAAATGGCACAACAAGATGAAACTATTGGAAAATTAAATAAAGATAAAAAGAATTTAGAAGAACAAAATAAACGTACACAAGAAGCATTACAAGCTGAAGAGGATAAAGTGAATCATTTAAATAAATTAAAAGCAAAATTAGAATCAACATTAGATGAAGTAAGTCAATGAATGAAATAGATCTTTTTTAATATCTTTCATTCGTTTTTGTAAGTAATGATGGATAGTAGCTAGCAGTGAAATCCAGTTTGATGCGCGTTTCGTCCTATTTTGGACTCGTCAGTCGGATTCAACAGCATCTCAGAGTTGATGTTCACGTTAGGACTCGAACCCAGTACCACTCGCTTCAAACACCATCGCGTTCTCCACTCAGCTACTGAGTCTTGATAGCCACTTGCTTGTGCGATGGTACTGGGTTGGAGTCTCAGAGTGAACATCAAGTCTGAGATGAAGGTACATCCAACTGACAAGTCTCAAATAGGGCGAAACGCGTGCCCTAGATTCCACGGCTAGCCACTATTCATCATTGCTTACAAAAAGCTTGTGAATTAAGGCAATATCGAGGAATACGCACAATATGAACATATACCAATAAGAGACTGATCAATTGCAGTCTTAAAAAACTCAATGGGAAGATACAAGTCAAACAATACCAAATGAATCTTTCATTCCTTCTTTTATTAGTTACTTATATCTGTCACAACTCGTGGAGGAGCATAGGCTGCTCACTAGCATTTTCCATCCAATTCTGTCTTAGACAATCCTTTCCAGTTGCTATTCATCCCAACACATTGTGCATTTTGACCTTCCTCTTTTGTGTTTCCCTTCAGATTAGGTTTTCGGACGTTTTGTGACTTAGTGCAAGTCACTTCTTCGGAGAATAAATGACCAAACCAAAATTAATCCAAGTTTAAATAGTACAACGGAACAATGACTTGGATTAATTTTAATTTGGTTATTTATTATCTGAAGAAGTGGCTTACGTTAAGTCACGAAACGTCAGAAAATCTAGTTTATCTACTCATTGAGATGTTACAAATATATTAGTTATTTGTAACAATCAACCCAATGCTCAGTTTATTCGAAATTATCAAATCAAATCTTGGTAATGATACCTATGTTCGATCATTGTTGCCTTTGGAGGATTGCTAACGTCCAGGGGTAATAGCGTGTTAGTAATGCTCAGGTTTGGTTTGCGTGTTTTAACATATCCACAGTAACTTAGTTAATGTCTCCATCTTGAAGCACAGTTTTTTGTGGCTTTAACATATGATACAAATGTCATGTGGTCGACTTCCATATCGTGCATTATTTATCGACGCTCAGACTGATTGGGAAGATGATCATTTTATGATATGGTCCCCGGTATCGAAGAGATCTGTATAAGACTGAAACCATTACTCTTCATTTGGGGTCTGATAGATGATGCAGTTCAATGGCTCGAGACGTTATCAGACATGGTTCAGAATAGAAGTCAATAAGGATCCCGTAATAGTTCTATTTTTAAACCCTTCATGAAAATGAGAGGAACTTGCTTAACTGAGAGAAATATTCTTGGGTACATATTTTTATTAACTGGTTTATTAGAAACTACTTAGTCGTCTTCCAATTAAATATATTTTCTCTCCGTTATCTCTTCACGATTTCGTCACTTTATTTGTTTCAAGCGTACTTCCTTTGATAATCACTTGTAGTACTGTTTTGTTTACTTATCACATTATTATTATTATTACTTTACACTACCTTTTATTTATATAGATGGAAGAAAATCTAGCTCGTGAACAAAAGATTCGTGGTGATGTCGAAAAATCCAAACGTAAATTAGAAGGTGATTTAAAAGCTACACAAGAAACTGTTGATGATTTGGAACGTGTAAAACGTGATTTAGAAGAGCAACTACGACGTAAAGAAGCTGAAATTAGTGGTTTAAGTGGGAAATTTGAAGATGAACAAGGTTTAGTCGCACAACTACAAAGAAAAATTAAAGAACTTCAAACACGTATACAAGAATTAGAAGAAGATCTAGAAGCGGAACGTGCAGCTCGTTCAAAAGCTGAGAAAAGTCGACAACAGGTAAGTAAAATTTTGCAGTTTAAGTTACAAACTTATATTCAAAATAAAAGAATGTTAACTATGGAGAAGATGAATTATGTTTTGTTTAATTCGGTTGATCAGATGCTCAATTCGTTCCTTCTTTATTTACCAAATGGCAAAATGGGAATTTTCACTATATTGATCAGATGAATGTCAGCTATCGATTTTTTATCAAATAAATAAATGGAGAGATAATACACAAACATAAGTTATCGAAGGCGGGAGATTGTCAAAGATTAGTATAATTAGGAGATAGATTTCATTACAAATCGGTGTGAGTTGAAGAATAACTGAAATACAATACAGAAAATTGATCCACATTTGTTCAGATATTATCAACAGTGAATAGTTACAAATTCATTTAGAATCTCTTGAGTCACGTCAAAAACATATACTGAAATATAAATTGTGATCCACTGAATTTATAAGCAAAGATGGATAGTGGATAGCGGTGTAAACCAGGGCTCGCGTTTCGTCCGATTTACGACTCATCAGCTGGATGGACATGCATTTCAGGGTTGTTGTTCACGCCTGGACTCGAACCTAGCAGAAGATACAAGCAAACAACATCAAGTGAATTTATGATCCAGAGTTGTGGTTCAATTATCTAAATTTATTATGTTAGCAGTTTTATTACTGTATAAGATCATTAATGTGTACTATTTCAGAGAAATCCTAAATAAACAATAAGGGATTTGTTTACTTACGTACCTGGTTATAAATGGTTCTAAAGATTTTGGTGGAAAATGGTCCTTAAATTTTGAAATACAAGTTACTTATTCTTGTCGTTAGGTTTCCGGAATACGAAAACAGTACACCAATCACCATAAGATTAGTACTATATGAAAGTAAAACTTAAACAAGATAGATATATGTTAGTAAAACTAAGAGAAGAATACAAATGAATGAATTCATAATACTTCTTACGGAACTTAACCAACTGCGTAATAGTGAAATTAAAATTAAGATTGCTTTATTAATTATATAATTTATTTAGAATAGATGATAATGAAAGAAAGGAGATGTATTTTTTCCTATTTGTGACTAATTAGATGAATGTGCCTGAACTGTACTGTTGATATTCACATTAGGTCTCGAACCAAGTCCCTAATGATTGTCTTGATGCTACTTTAAGTCATAAGGATTATAAGCAATGATGGATGTTGACTAACAATGATAACATCGAAGTGATCCGTACAGGATGCCTATATGTCGAAAAGAGACTGATCAATTATAGTCTTAAACACAGAAAATAACCAATATAAATGAATTAGACTTCACTCCGTGAACAAGTCAGTGGTTATCGGTACTCAGTAGCTAGTTGGATAGATAATGTGACGGTATCTGAAGTGAATATTGCTGTGTTTGATTCCCAGAATAAATGACAAATGTGATATGTAGGTACATTCACTTGATGAGTCTTAAATAGAACGAAACGCGCGTTATGGATTCCATTGGTAGCTACTATCCACCTCTACTTAAATATTTATTGTTTACATAGCTCATAAACTTTTTTCTTCTTTCTCCCTTTTTTTTCAAAAATATTACAATAAAAGCTTGAGAGTGAATTAGAAGAGGTTGTAGATCGTTTAGAAGAACAAGATGGTGCTACAGCAGCACAAAGTGATTTAACTAAAAAACGTGAAGCAGAATTAATGAAATTAAAACGTGATTTAGAAGATACACGTTTACAAAATGAACAAGCAATAGCTACAATGCGTAAAAAACAAAGTGATGCTGTCAATGAATTAGCTGATCAATTAGATCAAGCCAATAAAGCTAAAGCAAAGTAAGAAAAATATTATTAACTTCATATTTTATTCAGAGATGGGTGTTATGCAGATTGTAGCAATTTAATAATTGACTTCATGAGTCAATTGAAGCTAGATCACCATGGAAAACCTGGAAGCATTGGACGGCCGTTTCATCGTAGTATAGGACTCCTCAACAGTGCGCATCCACTATGCCGCCCCGCGAACGCTAAACCTGTAGACCACTGAGCTGGTATCTAACGGTGGGTTTGAATCTCGCGGGAGGCGGGATCGTGGATGCGCATTGCTGAGGAATCCAATACTAGGACGAAACGGTCGTCCAGTGCTTCCAGGTTTTCCATCTTGGTCTAGCTCCAATTGACTCATGAATTTAACTATCAAATTAATGTTTTATTGATGATTAAGACTAAGTATTATTCAATAACACTGGAAATGAAAGTACCCTAAATGTAAAAATACTCAGCTGGAACACTACCTCTTCTGACACTGATGAATTATTATTATAATCTCTAATATTTTACTTCACAAGGATATCAATCTCCAATCTGTTTAAATTATGAAACTATCTTTAAGGAATAAGAACTTTCGTCTAAATTTGATCAAATACTATCACAGTGTTTGGGCTCCGAGTTGATGTGAGACATTAAAGAGTAAGAATGTATTAGTAAAATCTCAGGTAATATCTTTTATATCCTTGAAGAAGTTTGAACCAGACTGCCAGGCGAAACGCTGGATTGACTTCAAATTCATTCGCTGAGATCATTATTATGAATGGCTTTATTTAATATTATATATTTGATACAGTATAGAATTCCCAGCAAAAAGTATTTCAACAGGTTTCTTTTTCTTACTTTCTTGATCCATCCTGACGATAAATATTGAGTGATCACCAGTTTAGATGTTAGTAATTCAAGAATCGACATTTGAATAATGTTCATTCTTTCAATGCATATTGCTAGCTAACACGATATCTCTGATTGCCCTCTTTTATAACTTGTATAGTGAAATGTCGTGAATTTTTCACAAACTCACCTGAATAGATTATGCAATCAATTGACATAATGATCTGTCAAAATAAACAAGGAAACAGATAACTTGCTGAAGTATTTAAATGATAGAAACAGGTAACCCAGATATTCAAACAAGCCGCCTGGTTACAGTAATATACTTTTTATCAGGGAAATTTCTTTTATTGTTCTTGTCCTTTTTCAACAGAAAACCAAATATGTAATTGTTGCAATGCAAAACGTCTGATTCGGTTAGATACACACATGCTTCTTATACTATTACCAATTGTGTTATATGAGTAGAAGCATAACAAATAACTATGAAGCTCTAATTGAAAAAAGTGAATCGGTTGATACACTAAACATTAAGTCATATTCTCATATACACCCTTCTGGACCAGACAAGAATTCGATCAATTACATAACTATCACCCTTTAGTAGTGTGTGCTTAATTTATTATTTCTCACCTACTACTTTGATTCATAGACAACCTGTTTAAATCCAACTAGCCTATCATCTCACTTCTCTTGAAAAGTATCCCTTTATTTTAGGGATTGAATTGTATTAGTTGAAGTGAATAACATTATTTTCATGATTAATTCATATCTTAGAGAGTGGTTATCACTTGTGACATTGTGAATAAGTGCTAGGTTTAAAGCTATCATGAGTTCACTTAATCTGCGAACGAGAACAAGACTCGGTGACCAAAGACCAGTAAGCTAGCTATTGATGCGTCTCAGCCCCGCTAACTAGAGGGAGAAGTTCAAGCTTGAAATGGGAAAGTATATTCTGCAAAACAGTTAGAAACGAGCGATAACAACAAGCACAATTCAAAACGTATGTAAACAGTGCAAAACCGTCTTTGGTGAGAGTTACCAAATAGCATACTAAAAGACGCAACGGACCAAAAGTTTTGTTTGCTTATCTGGAAGCTTCTGGGCTGTTCGATATTCTTTGAGTAACATAATAGTTTATAATTACAATACTTTTCATTCAGTGTTTTCTAGTCTTAAATAGTTGCTTAACAAGATATCAGTTCATGAAATAAACTACCGAAAATTTCTCATAATAAAAAATTCATTAGATTTATTATTCTATTCTATTATAGGATAGTGAAGATTGTTGAGTTTTGAGTGAGATCATGAACTGATCAATGTTAGATCACCATTGAAGATCTTCAAACACTGGATAGGTGTTTCGCCCTAGTATGAGACTCCTCAGACATGAGAAACTGTGGCTAGTGGAGTTCAACCATGTCGGATGTCAAGCAGTTACCCACCTAAGACAGTTGAACATGATCGCACACTATATCAAGGATTGATTGTAGTTAAAAATTAACACTGTTGAATGCCGGCTGAATGGTTCAGAGGTAAGACGTTTGCTCGTGAGACCGAAGGCCCTGAGTCCGAGTCCTGCACGAGAGATTGTCGATGCGCACTACCGAGGAGTTCCATACTAGGACGAAACAATAGTATATTGCTTCCAAATTTTTCCATATTTACCTAACGTTGATCAATTCATGTTTTTAATTAATATTCTATATTAGTACATTTATAATTATTTTTATTCATAGGGCTGAAAAGGAACGAAGTCAATTCAAAGCCGAATTAGATGATGCACATAATCAGGTGGATAGTATTATGAAAGCTAAAGTAAGTAGATCAGTGATTCTTTCTTTTAAAGTATTTTTTTCCTTTCTTTCCTTTTGATAATCAAATTTATTTAGTGTGTGTTAACATTATGATTGTTTCACATGTTAGATACAATTCACGTAGAAATTATTAGATATTTGTAACGATTGTTAATATCTCTCTTAGATTATGGTGACTAAACATCGTTTGTTGTCATGATTGCAAATTTTCCAAACGTTACATAAAGTTATTTTTCTATTTTTCATTCGATGTTATGTAAAATAAACGTCATACACATTTGGATTTTGCGCGATAAAGGTCAATAGATTTCTTCTTAATTCTGATTGGTTTATCCCTATTCTATACTTTTATAAGTAATTGTATTCTGAATGGAGATTTGTGGAGATTAAAGTAATTTTAATCGTTAAATTCATGAATTGATCTAAGCTAGATCACTATTGAGAACCTAGAATCAATGAATGATTGTTTCGTCTTAGCGTTGGGACTCCTCAGTAGTGCGTATCCATGATCCCCACACGAGGGACTCGAATGCAGCACCTTCGATCTCTCGCGTAAATATTTAATATCTAGATCACTGAGACTATTCTATTCAGAATTCATTTAACCTAATCTGATATAATTTATTTTATCTTGTTTACTTTCATTTTTTTCATTGAAAAAAATCTAGTTGAATTCTGAGAAAACAGTGAAGGCTCTAGAATCTCAGTTACAAGAAGTTTCAGTGAAATTAGATGAAGCTACAAGAAATTTGAATGAGCAAGCTTCGACTAAAGCACGCAGCAGTCAAGAAGTTTCTGAATTACAACGACAATTAGAAGAAGCTGAGTCACAATTAAGCCAATTGAACAAAATTAAACAACAACTCAGTGCACAACTTGAAGAAGCACGTCATAGTTTGGAAGATGAAAGTCGAGTATGTGTAAAGAATAATGATGGTTTATTAAATTAATTATGGATAATACATTATAATTTTAAGTTAGTTAACAGGAATAATCACCTACAAGTATCTAATGGTCAACTGAATTAGAGTAGTATTCATATGGGAGTTACTGAGGTGATAAAAACAGTGAGACTGACTATTGCTGAATATCGCCCTGGTAATTACTATTGGTTGATAATTCCCTAGTAATTATCTAACACCCAATTTAGCTTAAGGCTTTAAGATCTCACAAGGACTAATATACTCACTGAATATTGTGTCAAAATGCAATAGTTCACATTACTATTTTTAATCACTTCCCTAAATAAAACACGGTCTTCACTTGATTCCGTTGGTTGTAATCTTTCTCACTGGGAGCGTTATGGCGGTTTTCAATTTCCGATTGCTTATGATGTTGAAGTATACTATTTTTTGAGATACCTGAAAAGAACAATGGAGTACCGATAGTATCGGCCAACTATAAGAATGACAACATAGCTAAATTGTTATCTACTTATTATCGAAAATCCACAAGTTCTTGGCGTGTAGTTTTGACACATTAAATTCTGTATTTTTAAAGGCCTTAATCTTGGCAATGAAATTTAGTGAGACAAAGTGACATATAGTATTTTTCGGATTCACTTTTTCTGGTACCCAACAATACAAGAAAAATAGACAAATTTCAGATTTCATTGAAAGTGATGTGAACAGATTTTCATTCAACATAGGTGTTAAGCAATTCTTCAACGTTTTATAATTGTGATATTCATCATAATCACTGCATAGGTTATTGAAAGATAAAAATAGATATTTTGCATTAAATAGGTTCTTAATTGTACAAAAACGATAAAATATGTCATTATGTTTCCGAAACTACATCTCATACATTGTGATAACCTAAACCTTACCTACTTTGAGTTATACTCTGATTCACTTTTCTTATCTAATCTAATTTAGTACTTTCCAGCCAAATGTAGTAAAATGAGTTTTTGTATTGATTGTTTGAATCTTCTCATTCATGTGTTAAGGACATTAACTGATCAATCTCTTATTGGTATATGTGCATCCTGTGCGAACTGCATGGATATTACCATAAATATCATAAATAGAGATGTACTATAAATGATATTCTTATATTTTTCTTTTAGATAATTCTTTTTTCTGTTATTTATTTAGATGAAAGCTAAACTAAACGGTGAAGTACGTAATTTAACTAGTGACTTAGATTCATTACGTGAAACATTAGAAGAAGAACAATCAGCTAAAGGTGATTTACAACGTCAATTACAAAAATTACAAGGTGAATTACAACAATTACGTTCACGTGGTGGCGGTGGTGGAGATGTACGTTCTGAAGAAGTTGAAGAATTAAAACGTAAAATGAATGCTAAAATACAAGAATTAGAATCAGAAGCTGAATCAGCCAAATCAAAATGTGGACAATTAGAAAAAACGAAAGCACGTTTACAAGGTGAATTAGAAGATTTAATGGTTGATGTTGAACGTGCTAATGGTTTAGCTAGTCAATTAGAACGTAAACAAAATAATTTCAATCGTACATTAGCTGAATGGCAAAAGAAATATGCTGATTCTCAAGTGAGTTATTACATGAAACTAAATAAAATCACATATATTTGTCAGTTTCTATCATAAGCAGTCAAAGGAATATAGCAAACATTTAACAGTTGTTTCTTCTTTGTATAAAGCTTCTCAGAATCGTATATCGATGATCCTTCAGGATCTCAAACAAGAGGCTTATAGGTACTTGTTTGATATTTCTCTTCTAAGTAATCACATAATGTTTAATATCTAGACTGACATATAAACGTCTGGTTATTTAATAACTGTTTTCATGAGACAAACTTGAAAGTGATATTGTAGAAAGAAGAATTATCAATGTTTCATTGAAAGATTTATGAGTAGCATTCCTGACTCAGTATATATTTACAATTCTGTTCAGTAGATTATATCACGTTATAATATTACAAATAAACAGATTCTGAAGTGATGAGCTTATACTTTATTTGTTGGAGATAAGTTTCAACTAAATCTTGATACACGATATTGATTGGATCTTCGGTTTAGCCTATGGTAGTCACTAAACGAAATTATTTTAATACAAACAGAATCTATCATAAACTTGATAAGGCGGTAACTAATATACACAACTTTTTGAAAATAATCTTCAACAAAGGAAGCAGTAGCATAAATGAAAAATCGATATTTAACGAAGGCAAAAAGTGGCATCCAGAAATCAATTGGTAAACGTCTCATTTTTGTAATTTCTCATTTTCGCGCAAAAAGCACTCACTTTTACCTTCTGTTTGTTTTTCTTACTTGAAAGGACCTTGAATGTCATTGGTTCGTTTCCTCTTTTACTACACTATTTTGTGACAGTTTCTAAGGACATTTTGTACTATATATATACGCATGAGTTGTGTTCTTGTTCGTTCGTGCTTCCGACTGCTAATGGAATATACTTTTCCCACTGCTGAATCTGGTCTTCTCTCTCTAGTTATCAAGACTAGGCGCAATAGAATTGTTTAGTTTGACCTGTTGTTATGTTTCTGATTTTCGTTTCTTTCGCCAGTTTTAGGTGATATCGTAATCTCTTTAAACGTAGCAGACATTGTAGGACGAAGAATTTACTCAACTTAAAAGTGATAACAAACAATTAGAAGATAGAAACGTTCAGGTAGAAATACGAATTCAGAAAAACATCTTCAAGGTTTTGTTAAAAAAAGAGTTACCAGGGAAAAGATAAAACTAGATAACCTAGAATCTTGGTAACAATTTTCATTTGAAATATCAGTTCTGAGATGCAGGTATATCCAGCTGACGAGCCCCAAATAGGACGAAACGCGAGTCCTAGATTCCAGTGGTAGTTACTATCTATCTATGCTTACAATTTTATACTGCTGTAAATTATTGATAGACAATAAATATCTTTTGTGAGAACTCATATTAACTTGAAATTCATTACAGATTATTATAAATTACAACATAAATGGAGGTTAGATATCATCAAAAATTGAGACATATAACTTCTGTTGAAGCTAATACTTAGTATTCAGTCAAATTTAAATGTATACTGTACCTTATAAGATGATCATAATGAATTATAAAACCAGGAAGCATAAGACAACTGTCTTATCTCAGTTCAAATTAAACAATCCTCAGTTCATCAGAATGGGTTTTTAGGAGATTTTTAGAAATTTCACTACTTGAAATCATGAGTCATTTAAAGCCAGACCACCATGGAAACCTGGAAGCATTGGACGGCCGTTTCACCCTAGTATGAAACTCCTCAGCAGTGCGCATCCACGATCCCGCCCATACTAGGACGAAAATATCATCCAGTGCTTCCAGGTTTTCCATAGTGGTCTAGCTTCAATCCTCAGTTCAATTTGATGGTAGACTTACACAATAGAAATATGTCAAGTATTCGACTAGAATAACTGTTCACCAATTCTTGAATTCCAATGATTAATGATATAAACTAAATTATTCAACAAACTTCACCACCAATAACAACCTATCTTTCATAATCATTTTGATATTGTTATTTTGTTTTTGGTTAAAATAGGCTGAATTAGAAAATGCTCAACGTGATGCACGGGGTCAATCAACTGAAATCTTCCGATTAAAAGCTCAATTAGAAGAAGTACATGAGCAAATGGAAGGACTTCGTAGAGAAAATAAGAATTTGAGTGGTATGTTGATAGTTATGTATTGGATAAATAATATTAATTAATGATTATCATTATTATCATTATTACTTAAGTATGAATGATTTTAACATCTCATTTAACAATATATAGAAAGCTCGAGATCATCAGTTACACTGATCTATAAATTTTGACCGCAAAGAGTACTGAACAGTTGACTAACCTAAACAGAATAAGAGAGAAAGAAGAAGAAGAAAGGCGAAGCTCTTTAGCTTCGTTTCTGGACGAAACGTTTTTCACTGACAAAATTTGTATAAAATCAAGTGATTAGAATAAATAATTTATCACTTAGTTACAAATGAATAAGATTTCAAGCATTCAATTGATGGAGTCAACGAAAACTGTCTATTCATCATCAGGCTTTATGGTTCTTCACAAAATTATACAATTTTTCTGATGAAATATACTACTCAAAGATATCTTGAATAATTAGGCAGTGACCCCGTGTCTTTAGCATGTCATCTTATTATCAATTTTGTGTAAATAACCTATTCCATTGGAAGATTGCATGTTAAAACAAATCAGAGGTTATCGTAATAGCTTACTATCTATTAAACATTATGTAGGCAGTTTAAGACGCTATTTACAGTATTCACACTATTCTATAAATTTTGTCATGAATTTCACTCACCTATGATAGTAGAATTTAATTGCATAATATCGCGACTTGATTAAGGTCAATAATGCGAACCACATGATGCCCACTCAGTTGTTTAAATAATAAACGATCCTCATGAGACTCGAGGGTCTTGGGTTTGACCCCCGTTTGTGAGGAGGCATGGATCCTAACTGCTGAAGAATTCCACACGAGGATGAAATAGCTGTCGAGTATTTCTCGGTTTCCAGGAGTTTTCTAAATAATGTCAATTCGCTTTATGAACTGTGAAATTGAACAGTCTTCATGATTTTACTGAATAAAATAACGTTTTTGTAGTGTTAACTTATTTTAGGGTAACCAGCGTAATTACTGAGTTGTAAACGTAATGATTTTTAGTACAATCTAATTTCATTTATGTTATTAGTGAAATAATTATCGTTTGATTTAATTATTAATTTCTTTTATAATTAGATGAAATTCATGATTTAACTGAACAGTTGGGTGAAGGTGGACGTTCAGTACATGAAATTGATAAAAATAGACGACGACTTGAAATGGAAAAGGAGGAACTACAAGCTGCATTAGAAGAAGCTGAAAGTGCATTGGAACAAGAAGAAGCTAAGGTTCAACGTGCTCAACTTGAAATGAGTCAAGTAAGTAAGAGAGAATTATATAGGATACTCAGTAATAATTTTTTTCTGAGATGGTGGAGAAGATTTGTAGCTGCGGTGGATGATTCGAATGAACTTTTGTTAGCTGAGCTGTATGTTTTGGTCGTGGGGCTTTTGTTGTTCTTCTGAACGAAGTCATGAGCACAAACGTCATCTAGAAGTGACGTGTTCGAATTTCTATATATATAACTCACAGCCTGTCCTGTCGACCTCGATCTTGACTGTATCTCTCATCACTTTGATTCTTGGTCCCATGTTTGTCTATGGTATTTCTGAATGGTTGATAGGTTGGATCGATTTCAATGTGTTTGTTGATTGACCTGAATGCCAAACTTCTAAGAATCCTATGGTACTTTTAGTATTCTCTTTATCCAAGGTCTAAACATTTTTCCGGTCAAATGTGTGCCTACAGTTGTCCGCATGCATTGATATAAGCTAGGATATGTCATATAGTTTGACCGCTAATTTATATTCATACAGACAAAATTTTAACACTATACTTTCACCCGAAGTTTGTTCTGATGATGTTGTTCAGAAGAACAATGAAAGCTCCACGATCAGACAATCCAGCTCAGAGAATAAAGCTCCACCTAAAAAAGTTTTTAAACTTCCATGTAATCTTTCCTGTTATCATTCCAGAAAAAATTAATACATTTTATACTCACAGGTCATTCAGAACTTAAATTTATCAGACTGCGAAGGTCAGTGATGGCACGGATTATAATTGTATAGAGTGGAACATTAGTTCCATCAACATTACTGGTACGCATTACTAATGAGATTGATAACTAGCTTGAAACCTGCGTCTAAATAGGGTTTCTTACTGATTACATCCAGTGAATGCAAATATATGACATATTAGTCAATGGAGCCTCCAAGTGTTCTGAAAAAATAGGATACTTTTCTTAAAATTATGAATCGATCAATGTTAAACCATCATTGAAAACGTAGAAGCAGTTTCGTCCTAATATGGAACTTCTAAGTAGTACACATCCATGGTCTTGCACGTAGGAGTCTAATCCAGGACCTTCAATCGAACGGTGCTAATGACTAATTTCGATCGATTCATGACATTCCGCAACCATCATCGATTGTTTTCAGTGAGTGACTGCCTCACACCTGACACAAATACTTTTAAACTAATTACAGTTGGAATGTAATAGATAATCGTTTCTTCAACTGAATCTCATTTTAGGATGAAAATTACATTCAACTGATACTTTCACATTAAATATGAACTAGAATATAAATGTTTAAAAACGATTATTTTACTTCTTATTGTAATGAGATTACTATTGAAACTTTGGGCAAAACGTTTTTCATAGTCAACTTCATTCGGTGTATTTGACTTCGAGTCACAATCTAAAAGTAACGGCTAGTGCTATGAACGAGAGCACAGGTGGGGACAACGGATTATATTTTAACATAAAATTACAGAGTTATTTGGTGAAATGTAAAAACTGTACGTTCAATTCCTTAGTTTACAAAATGTCTATCAATTGTCTCAGACTTGACTATTCCTTCATTTCCATACTAATTGCTCTCTGTCCTTGTTCTCTTCTGTTGTCAGATCATTGTTTTACATAATGAACATTCATAGTTCTGTCTAACTGTAAACATCAGATGTATTCATTAAACATAATACTGATTATTTATAATACTAAACAGTAGATTGAGGTGACTTAACATTACTAACCTGACACCTATACGTTATGACTAAAGTCCATTCAATAAACTTTACATGTAAATAATTACTTATACAATTACATCTAAATAGTCATTTCAATGATCCATCCTAATTATAATCATGTATAAATAGAACTGTCAGTATCATTTAAGTGTCATTTCGATTATGTAACAGCAAGTGGCATTACATCACAATAATTATTTCAACTAAACCAATCAAAAATATGCTACACTTTCTTTCTATGTTTAAAGGATAGAACGAAAATAATTGATAGTATTATAAGCAAGATGAATGGTGGCTAACAGTGAAATCGAAGATACATGTTTCGTTTTAATTGGGATATACCTGCACCCCAGAGTTGATGTTCACTTCGGGACTTGAGACACCACCCATATTTGCTTATAATACTTGTTACCTAAGGCAATTCTCTCAGGATATACATATGCAATAAGAGACACATCAATAACAGTCCTAAACATCAGTCGGAAAATACAAACAACCGATACAAAAATGCATCAATTGATGATATTGACCTTGACAAATCAAAGTAAAAGCACTACCTGTTGAATTCATGCATGTTAGTAGACGTACTACAAAATATAAAACCAACGGATAATGCATGTAGCTGAATAGTCGATAATGTTATACTGGAGTAATTGAAAACATATTTCCCTGGAGATTGTTTGTAAATTATTTTTGAACACATTTTCTGTTATTCACCTTTTTAAGTTTACTGTTCATTAAATTATCCAATGGGTACATTTGGGAATAGTTTCCTTTTTTTTTCAAGCACATCTTTTGAACTAATATCACTGAATGATTTTGGTAAACAAGTTGTTTCTTTTGATGAGACCCCCCCACTTTTTACTTTCTCTAATACCCAATATCATTTTTTTAAAAATATTTTATTATTTGTCTCTTAATAAGATTCGTCAAGAAATTGATCGACGATTAGCTGAAAAAGAAGAAGAATTTGAAGCTACACGTAAAAATCATCAACGAGCTATGGAATCACAACAAGCTAGTTTAGAAGCTGAAGCAAAGGGTAAAGCAGAAGCTATGCGTGTAAAAAAGAAACTTGAACAAGATATTAACGAATTAGAAGTTAGTTTAGATGGTGCAAATCGTGCTAGAGCTGAACAAGAGAAAAATGTGAAAAAGTTCCAACAACAAGTACGTGAATTACAATCACAATTAGAAGATGATCAACGTCAACGTGATGATTTACGTGAACAATTTCAAGCTGCTGAACGTCGTGCAACTGTATTAGCTGGCGAATTAGATGAATTACGCATAGCGTTAGATCAAGCTGAACGTAGTCGTAAAATAGCTGAAGCTGAACGTGCTGAAGCATCAGATCGAGCGACAGAAATGTCTACACAAACTGCATCATTAGCTGCACAAAAACGTAAACTTGAAGCTGATTTAGCTGCTATGCAAGTAAGACTTAATAATTATGTTTATTTTTCTAAAACAAATAATTTAAGAATAACTAACATTAGTGAATAATGATGAATAGATTTTATTTACGTCTGGACTCTATTCAACTACTCTTGAGACCTAAAAGTATTAGTAACAATATATAGATTGCATTCATTATAGGATTCGTCATCTAAGTTAGAACATAAATAAAAACAAGGAAGCATTGAACAGCTAATTTGCCCTAGTATATGAATCCTCAGCGATGTACCACCAGTGAGTTTTCGTGATTAGTTGACTTCAGATATATCAGGAGTGAGACAGATGTCACTAAGAACATGCAGTAGTCGTTGTGCTTTATTGCGAATTGACTGAAGTTAGAATTATAACACCGAAAGCTGATTAAAAGGATTATAATACTTAAGTTTTCAGCTTGAGATCTGAAGGTTCAGGGTTCGACCACGGGTAGAATCATAGGTGAGCACTCCTGATACGTTTCAAACTGGGACGAGACAGATGTTCACTGATATCTAGTTTTTAATAATATCCTAAATGAGATCAATCTATGGCAGATAAAAATTGCAAAAATAAACCAGTTTTCACAAATCTCTTTCAACAAAATACTTGATTCAACTGAATTATAAAAATGTCATAATGGTTGAATACTTGTAGTGTATGCTACTTATGTTAATAGATATAAGTGGTATGTAGCATCAATCAAAAGTGAAATGCCCGCAAGCCAAAGATTGTGAAGAATTTAAATGAAGAAAAGAGAGAGGAAAATTAACAGCAATCAAAATAACGACAGAAATGAAAGAATGGTGTAGTTTGCAAGAGACAACTGATAAAAACTATGCAAATGATATTTATAATGTTAGGTCTTCATAGTTTACTAACACACTGTAATTTTGCATTAATCAGTAAAGTGGTCTTCCCCACCTGAGTTGTTCGCTCACTTACATTCTTATATGTTAACTTATACTAAAATTCTGAGTTATCCTTTATTACTTACTTACTTATTTACGCCTGTTACTCTTTGTGTAGGAGCATAGGCCGCCCACAAACTCTCGCCACCCAACCCTGTCCCGGGTAATCCTTTCCAGCTCTTTCCAGTTGTTAGTCATCCTTTTCATATCTGATTTTATTTCCCGACGTGTAATGTGGTCTTTGGCTTTCTTCTTTTCTGCATCCCTTCAAGATTCCAAGTTAGGGCTTGCCTCGTGATGTAGTTTGATGATTTGTGAAATGTTTTTCCTATCCATTTCCATCCTTTATACACTTCATCATTTTTTCGATTTTGTTGTTGTTTCGATTATTCTTCATTTTACTTCTCTTTATTTCAATCTTCTGCTAGTAAGCATTTTATTTCTAATTCTTGCTACATACTACTTATGTATGACTTAAGAGAAAACCATTAAGATGAGAAGTGGAGAGAAGAACGAATGAAATGATTTCCATATGAAGAATGAAATGCAAATAGAACATACTGAGTCAAAGAATGAACATTTTTCAGAGTGATAATTACCTCAAGATTTATTAGATGATAAGAAATTAGTGCAATCGACTCAAACTGACGAGTAATTTTAGGTCTTACAACACAACTTTTCTAACCATTGATTAAAGCGGTCGTTACACGTATTCCATTAATGGAGGTCGACTTATATAATCACAATTTAGAGATCAACTGTCAATAGCTTCATAGATTTATATTATTTGCTTGATCTGTCTATCTCTAGCTCAGCTCTCACCCAAACTACTATTACATACCAGCTAGCTTGACATGTCAATAAGAGGGATGACGAAACAAAGGGTAACAGATATTATTTCCATCTTATTAACGTTAATAGCTTCACATGTATACACTTTAATTATTTTACTGAAATCATGAACTGTTCGATTTTAGACCACCATTAAAAACTTAAAAGCAATAGACAGCCACTTCGTTCTAGTATGGAACTCAGTAGTACGTACCCACGATCATGCACGTGAGACTGGAACCCTGAACCTTTGATCTTGCGCACAAATGCTTAATTTATAGATCAATGTGCTAGTATCTAACGGTGGTAATGTCTAACTGCAATCAATCCACAATACATTGTGCGATCATCTTCCATTTTATTCAGTAAGTAACTATATCTCACCCAACCCGGATTACATTCCCCTCTTTAATTCTCTGATTTTTCACTATTTTGTTGTTGCTTTTTTTATTAGGCCGATTTAGAAGAAGCTGCCAATGAAGCTAAACAAGCTGATGAACGAGCTAAAAAAGCTATGGCTGATAGCGCACGTGTATTTGAAGAAATTCGTCAAGAACAAGAACATACACAACATGTTGAAAAAGCTAGAAAACAACTTGAAATACAAGTAAAGAAATTATTTGATATATTTTGTTTGTTTTTAAAAATTTTATACTGAACTAAAGACAGAATAGCTAATTAGCATAGTCTCATTATTAAAGAATAGGATTTATGTGTTATAGCTGTGACTGCAGATTAGATGGCAGCGAATTATCAATCGGCCCAAAGACGCGTAAAACAAGTAAGAACGACCTAGAGTCCTGATTGGCCCTGCTTTCCGCCTAGCCTAGCCAGTTAAATCCAGAACGCAAGTCTCAGCCTCTGAGATATGCATCGTTATATTACAAACATTCTGAGTTTATATACCAATCAAACAGACCACAACGTACCAATAAAATATGAAACAACGTTTGTATAAGAATTAGCCAGATGTGACTGTGAATGAGGGAGGTAGTAATCAATATACTGAGTATAACTCAAGAATGGTGAAGCGCATAATAATGGTTCATAGGTCAAAATAAAGCTTGTAATAAGAGGAATATGAATATGCATACTTTAGTTAATTAATAATTATACAATAGAAATATACGTTTAGTATTGGTCCATAAAAGGATCCCAAAGTTATCATTCATTATGTTTTCTGGGGTCCCAACTGTTGTGGATGCGGAGGAATAGACCTATAATTATGATGTTAAGTCCAATGGTGTCCTTGGACTTTAAATGGACATTTCCTATTGGTCGATATCTGTTCACTCGTTGAATATTGTACAAAATGTTGTTTTCTATTTTTATGGTACGATGTGGTATGCTTGGTTGGTATATAAACAAAGTATGTTTGAAATATGATGATTCATAACCCAGTGGCTGTGACTTGCGTTCTAGACTCAACTGACTGGGCTAGACAGGGAAGCGAGACCAATCAGGGCACTAAGTCGTCCTTACGTGTTTACGTGCCACTGTCATTGTAATCGATCGATAAATAAACGCTGCTTATCAAAGACCTGCAGTCCCACACGTTACAACACCAACATTATGCATTCTGTACCAGATTATTTTTGTTTGTGAAAGTTTTATAGGATTCCCGAACTTTGTCCCATTAGTGGAATTGAAGACCTGTGTTTCATCCCGTTTTTTGTTTGTTTTGAAAACTTACCATCTGGATATACCTGTATCCTAGTGTTGACGTTCACATTTGGACTCGAACTCAGTAATCTTTGTCTCAAACACTAACACATTATTCATTGAATTACTGAGTTCAGACAAACACTAACGTTTTCAAAGGATATGATGTTTATTTCATAGACATTTATACTGTTTCATTTGTGATCTAAATTAATATTTCAATGTAACAGTAATAACAATTCCAGATTTAGTATCATTTCAATTATTTAACCGATTCTTTCTTCATTAATTAAGGTAAAAGAACTAATGGCTCGTTTAGAAGACAGTGAATCAGGTGCTATGAAAAATGGTCGCAAGGCAATGGGTAAATTAGAACAACGTGTACGTGAATTAGAAACAGAATTGGAAGCAGAACAACGTAGACATGGTGAAACTCAAAAGAATTTAAGAAAAGTTGATCGACGAATGAAAGAAATTAGTTTACAAGTAAGTTAATTATTCATTGAGAAAAGAAAAACCTTTTCAGTAAAACAAAAAAAAAACACTACACATTTATCTACTTTATGAAGATGAAGTAATTTATGATGTCAGTAAAATGAGAATGAAGATAATCTTCATTGAAGAATGACTTGAATTAAATCAAGATATCATTGTGAAGCACTGGATACTGACTGAATGATTTGTTATTAAAGTTCTCTCAACGAGACTTATTAGTTCTGGCTTCGATTCCCAATAATGGGATCGTGAATTTACACACAAGTGAGAATTGGTACACTACGACGAAATAGCTATTTTAATATTTTCAAGTTTTCAATGATTGTCTAACTAAAGTCAATTCATGGTGTAAATGATAGAAACTAAAGGAATCAAATAGTTGGAAAGATTGTTTCAAATTGAAGATTAAACATAATGTATATAATTATGCTTTTTGTATGCTTCTAGGCTGAAGAAGACAAAAAGAGTCATGATCGTATGCAAGAATTAGTTGAGAAACTTCAAGGTAAAATTAAAACATACAAACGACAAGTTGAAGAAGCTGAAGAGATTGCTGCTATCAATTTAGCTAAATATCGTAAAATACAACATGAAATTGAAGATGCTGAAGAACGTGCTGATCAAGCAGAACAAGCATTACAAAAACTTCGAGCTAAAAATAGATCATCAGTATCAACAGCACGTGGTGTAAGCGCTGCACCAGCTGGTGGACCTGGACATGCAGTAAGTGTTCATTCTTAAACTATTCTCTACAATCATTGTCTGATGAGTTATTCATCCTAGGTAAGGTCAACGGTTTCATTTATTTCAAAAAATCTTATCAGCTATGGATTTAGAAAGTTGAGTTGCCTATGCAGCATAGGCAACATCTTTCTGCCAGCGAAGAAATGCTTATACTGCACGGCATTTCGTTCTTCTATACTTTATGATTGATATATTTGGCCTTTAAAAATATAGGATATTCATTTATAGGTTAAAAATATTTGACCATAGAAGCTTTCTTTGATGGGCGATGTTGTTTAGTTCAGGAGTATGTTGAAAGAAATTTGGGGATGGCCAAATGAAAACATTTCATCAGTTCACGAAGTCAATGACTATTAGTTTAAATCATTTAGGTTTAGGCTATTTAGTTGAAACCAACACAATAACCGTGATCGGTAGTTGTAAACGTTACATAAAACATCTTATTATAGTATTAGCAATTTCTAAAAAATTGAGATATGATTGTGTGTAGCTGAAGTTTCAGTTAAACTGTTTTGACGTAGAAACAAACATTTAAGTATATTTAAATTCACTTGGTATTGTATGTTTGAATCTTCTTATTGATGTTTAGGACCTCAACTAATCAGTCTGTTATTGGCATATGTGCATACTGTGCTTATTGCTTCGATATAGTCTAAATTCACATGCATTATATGCAAGATGAATAGTGGCTAGCAGTGGAATACAGGATGCGCGTTTCGTCAATTGCAGTCCTAAATATCAATAGGAAAATTCAAACAAACAATACCATATGAATTTAAAATTGACCCCATCGCACAAGCAGGACTCAGTAGCTAAGTGGATAACGCGATGGCGTTTGAAGCGAGCGGTACTGAGTTCCAGTTCCGGAGTGAACATCAAGTTTGAGATGCAGGTACATCCAGCTGATGAGTCCCAAACAGGATGAAACACGTGTCTTGGATTCCACTGCTACCCTGACGTGGTGGTCGGGCTTGCCTGTTGTGATGAAGCAACCGAGCCATACTGGTTGGAACAACCGTTCCTCAAGGTCCTGCCATGTCAGGCAGGTCGGTTGAAAAGCGGTAAGACTAAAAGCAACAAACCCAATGTCCGAAGGCGAAGTCGTACTGCTGACTGTGCAGAGGTGTGATGGCAGTAAGGTGTTTCCTTCAGACAACCAGCATGACAACGATGCTGCCTTCCCATAAGGAGGGGTGGAGTTAGAAAAGGTTGACCCTAAAAATGCACACCTCGCCTTATCCCACGGATATCCGTCTCCGGCGGTAAGGTCTCAACAAGTACGGAGCTGACACAAAAATTACTCATAAAAAGGTCGTGTGTGACCGACCTCAAGCAGTTGTCCCTTGGGCACTGCGATCACGTTCCCAGGTCACTAAGACCACCTCTAATCCAATTTCCTTTTCAGGTACCTCCAGAACAACCGTTCCACGGTGTGGGCAACTGGGAAGTGATAACCGCTCCCATACCTCTAACAGCATTCAAGACCACTGACTGACTGACTATCCATATAATTTAAGTATATAGATTTAATAAAGAAAAAAAGCATATTTAGAAGTTGTTCAAGTTTGATGTTTTTCAGTTAGTTACCATTATTCACTATAGAATGAAATCAACCAAAGAACTTACTGTTAAAAGGTAGGAAAGGAAAACATAGTTGTTTCATCCTATTTGAGGATCATTCAGTTATAATAATCATCACCTTGTACTTACTATTTATATTTATTCAAAAGAGAATTCTTTAAATTCGTTGAACAATCTATGGTCTATGGAACACTACCATTCTTTAAATTAAACAGATATCATTGTTAATACTCGTCGATTGTCGTTCTATACCTCGAATCAGATAAATTTTCACAATAATTTACATAATTAGATACAGATCCAGTGTTTAATTGTTATTGAAACATATTATACCCGGACACTGAAGTATCTTTGTTGAATTCCGTGTTTGTAGAATCCTAAGTGAGCACTTCCAATGAGTTATTAGGCGAGACTATAAATATATGGACGGACCAGTCGGGTATAAGTTAACAGGTTTCGGATTTCACTCATCCATTTGGCTAAATAGAGTTTTGGCATTATAGCTTATGTCAGTTCGTGATAAGAACCCTAAATCTAATTCCTAAACCTAACCATCAACTGTTAATCATAATTCTAATTCCTCACCCTGGTTTATAACCCTCATTTGATCCTAGTCATTAGATGGACACTCTCAAGGTCACTTCAGCATCGCTCAAAGGTCGTTCATAAATTATAGTATCATCAGTAATTCTCCATACAAACTTCTTATATTCATTCACTTGATATCTTTACATTATTGATTACGACTGTAATTGATCAGTTTATTGTTGGCACATATGCATCCTATGCAGATCGCCTCGATATTGCCTTAAGTCCCAACTTTCATAAGCAAAAATGGATAGTTGCTAGCAGTCGAATCGAAGACTCATATTTCGTTCCATATGTGACTCGTCAACTGGATGCACCTGCACCTCAGAGTTGGTGTTCACTCCGGGACTCGAACCCAATACTGTTCACTTCAAACGCCATCGTATTATCCACTTAGCTACTGAGTTCTTTTCTTCGTATTTTCATTTATCTAATTAGTTTTAATAACTATTATGAATATTATTCCATGAGTTTTTCTTTTATTATATTTTTTTCTTTAAATATTTCTTAATAGAATCGTGCTCGTAAGCCAACAGCCAGCTTAGCACCAGAAGAAGAGTAAATCACATAATTAACAATTGAATTGCTATTGACCAGTAATGAACTGTATTCTAAGAAGAATAACATCATTGCAAATGCTTTCTATCAAACTGTTCATTATTATTTTACATTTTTGCAATACCCTCTAAACCCCAGTTCGTTTACTTTTCCAGCTTCATATTTAGTTTTAGATCAATTGTATTCAGTACATACTTATTTTTTGTGTATTTTACTCTTTCTATATATCTGTATGAGTATATGTGTATGGATGTATGTGTGTGGGCTTCTAGGGAACAACAACTAAAGAATACTAACATAACATTAATAATAATAATAATGTGTGTTAAGACTGTTTGAAAGGTGAATCAATTACATATATAGATTATAGTAATAGATACACATACACAATCATGTATACCTACCTTTCCCTTGGCTATACACCTGTTGTCTTACCTACCTGCCTACCTACCTACCTACCTTCCTACACCTAAGTTCACCTATACACCTATTTTGTGTCACCTTCAACATTTGAGATCATTGTTGAAGGTTGTTTTGAACATTATTCAGCGGTAGTGTGTTTTTTTATATTAAAAAAAACATCAGTTTCAGATGAGCTCCTTTACCCTTTGCAATAAAAACGACAACATCATTCAATTGTGTTTAGGCTCATCCAAAATTCACTTTTTGTTGGTTTTTCGTTGGTTTCGTACAAACATACATATACACACCAATTTTTGTTTGTAGTTTTGTGTTATTAATTGTTTGCTCATATATATATAAATAAATAAGTAAATATATATATATATGTAAACAAGAGACATCAAATCGTCATTGATTCCTATCATTTTGGCCTAGTCTATGGAAATAAACAACTATAATGCACAGAATCTACCAAGTTCCATACAAACAAACACACACACACAAACATATATATATATGAACATTTATCTATAAGCACTTACATTCATATTGAACATGATACTGAGTCTCGCTAAAAAGAAAAGAAAAGGAAACCAAGTAATCATATATACCATCTCTTTATTTGTCTATCTAGACCTTCTTATCAATAATTATGCACCATATGGGTTAAGTATCGATTTGAAAAATTAAAAAAAATATATCTATGATCTATAATTGCTAACTGGTCTTAATACATTTATTACAATAATTAGTGACATACATATAAAGGTACCGTTTTCTTTTACTTTTCCTTGTTTTGTCTTCTATTTCAAATCTCTTTGCAATTTTTTTTTAAAAAAAATCTCTGTACTTTTCTTTACATAATGAATAATATAAAAATGATTGTATTGTAAGTGGAAGGACTACTATCTTGGTCTCTATTTCTTACACACACACACACACACACACACTCTATGTCTCTGTGTATTCATTAAAAGTAATATTGTTTATTCACTGCAATGTTTCTCATCTTACCTATCATTATTATCATTATTCTTAATAATATTACGATTATTACTATTAATGATGATAATAATTTATTATTATTACCTAGTTTACAAGTCTACTTACATTGGAATACAAAAAAGTAATTTCATCTCCCTTGAGAATGCTAATCATTGAAATGAGTAATAAATTCACTTACTCTATATGTTTATTGAATAGTCTTTGACTTTTTTGTTATTTGGTTATGTAAATACTAGTGAGAATAATCGTTTACATAGTGCAGTAATACTGAGACCCATTAGTAGATGATGATAATAATATGTGTGTTTGTTGAATTCCTTTGAGATTATTGTATCGTGTTTGACGCTAAGTAAAAAAAAAGATCTGTAAATGTCTAGTTTCGTGATGAGGATCATTCATTCTTTAAACGACCGTATTTCCGAACCATAAACATGCACATCAATGGGAAGATTCAAGTAAAACAATACCAAGTGAATTAAACTCCACCCCATTGCACAAGCAAGTGGCTATCAGCACTCAGTAGCTAAGTGGATAACGCGATGGCGTTTGAAGTGAACGGTACTGAGTTTGAGTTCCAGAGTACATCCAGCTGATGAGTCCCAAACAGGACGAAACGCTCGTCAAACTGGATTCCACTGCTAGCCACTATCCATCTTTGCTTATAATGCTTGTAAATTAAGGCAATATCGAGGCAATACGCACAGTATGCACATATGCCAATAAGAAACTGATCAATTGCAGTCTTAAAACATCAATGGGAAGATTCAAGTAAAGCAATATCAAGTGAATTAAATGTAGTTAATTTGATGTCTTCTTAGCAGATAATCAGACTAATAATTGTGCTCAGTAAACCTATTTTTCAACATCTTTCAGAAGGTAGAATCCTTTGACAACTGGCTGAATATTTAATTAAACCAATGAAACTATATAATGCTTGATCAAAAATGTATATGAAGGTTAATGGTGATTAACTTGACCTGAAACTGATGTAAAAGGGTTGATCACCGTTAGGAAACTTTAGAAAAAGCTTGTTTATTCGTAAGTGCTTGAATATTATCATTGCTGATATTGAGGACTGAAATTTGATCAATCTCTTTTGATAGATATGAATCGTCATCTAGTTGCCTCAATACATCGACCTAATTACAAGCTTAATAGTGAATAGATAGTATGTGGTCAGCAGTGGAATCTAGGATACGTGTTTCGTTATATTTAAAACTTGTCAGCTAGATGTACATGGCACATTCCAATGTTGATCTTCACACCGAGACTTATACCCAGTACTTTTTCCTTCCAATACACAACACGTTATCCACCGAGCTACTGATTCCATGCAGCCATTAGCCTATTCATATACAATAGGATACAGGTATATCCAGCTGACGAATCTCAAATAGGAAGGAACCTACGAAATGGATCTCACTGCTAGTCACTCTTGATCTCTACTTGAATATTAAAATAAATACGTTCACACAGTTTTACTAGGAGTTTATTCCCTAAAGATAATGTTCCTAAAAATATCAAAATAAATTTAAAAGATACGAGAAAAGAAACTAAGAGTTTGACAGTTATCATTATCTGGTTATTTAACAGGTTGCATCACATAACTTGATTCCTTTTTTAGACGAAATACTTCATCACCATATCAGATAGGCGTATTCCATTGGAAGCACGACAAGTATGTTTCATGCAAGTCAACACTAATCAACAAAACATACCTACATCATTGAAGATGATATTGCATACCGAACAGGATTTCAATAGTTAAGTGGTAACATCTTTCGCTAGGATACAAGAGAACACAGATTTAGACTTCATAAATGTGATCAGCTCTCTGATAAACTAAAACACCACTATCGAACATATTAGCAATGGAGTAGCATTTGATAGTCATATAAAATGGACAGCTGCTTTCTTGTTAGTTACAATTTAGGGTATGTAATGGACGAGAACTCAGTTTGAAACAACCAAATATATTTGAACACAAAATTACACAATGAGGACCATACAGTAAATTCTTCATTTGCAAAATGTCAGTCATTTGTCTCAGACTTGACTGTTCCTTCGTTTCCATGTCAATCACTTTCTGTTCTCTTTCCTTCGATCTTCTTAACCTGCTACTGATATACATTTCACTTTCGATTGATGACACACACTACTTATATTGATCAATATCAGTAGCACACACCACAGTATAAATAATCACCTCCCACCTAAATCGAAATATAAGTTTACACAAATATTACACAAAATTTGTTTTGTCTTCAGTCTACTTAATCGAACATTATTTTATATGAATCTTCGTGAAATACAACCACAGGTCATGCTATTCATACTGTGGTGCGTGCTACTTATATTGATGTAAGTCAGGAATGTAATGTCTGGCAGCAGAAGATGGGGAAGATCAAGAAAGGAAGAGCGGGAATCGGAAGAAATTAGTATGGAAATGCAAGAACAACGAAGTTCGAGACAATTATTGAACAGTTTGCAAATTAAGTATTATAGTATAGTTTTTCTATTTTACCAAGTAACTCTGTAAGTTAGTGCTAAATTTAATTCGGTTATCCTCACCTGTTTTCTCCTTCACTACAATACGACTCAGTATGACGCTGAATTTTGTAGAATAGCAGTCGTGTTTGTTGTCAGTCTGTGAATTCTTAAAAACTACACTGACCCATTTGTCTACATTATACTTAATCAGTTTTGATAGCTCTGAATCTAAAAGATAAAACAAAATTAAGTGATAGATTTCATTCAGTGAGCTACAGTTTCTGAGCATTCACAGATGCGGCAACTGAAAATATATATGTGTGTATTGAAACAATTGGAAAAGCATGCTCTTACTAGATACTTACTTTTATTAAATTCATGAATCACTCCAAGCTAGATCATTGTTGAAAGCCTGGAAGCAGTGAACGGTCGTTTCGTTCCAGTATGGGACTCCTCAAAATACATTTATTGTTAAACTTGATACAAAATGAAAATGTCTATTTTTTACCTTATCGAAGGTAATTTTATAAATATCAGTCAGCTCTTGTACCTTAAAGCGCCGACAAATTGGTTTTAGTGACCAAGCATTTACTGATGGACATGAATTTCCTGAGCTTGATCCTAAGTGGAGTCATGAATATAGACTGCTAGTAAATACCATACAAAGAAAAAATAACTGTTCAATCTTCTTTGGTTTCCAATTCTATCTCGACGGATATCAACATGTAAAGAATAAAGTTTACAAAATAATTAATTTCTTATCACTACTCAATAGATTTGATATCCAGTCATTCAGGAAACACCTATCTGATAAAAAATTAATGATATATCTATTACTTACTTACTTAATCCTTACTCCTAACCAATGGTTGGAGACTCTGGGTGATATAATTCAGAATCGATCACAGTGGCGTAGGTGTATACACTCTCTATCTTCCCTTAAACTATGAGATTAAAATTGCTTTATTTCTTTCTTCCTACGAAGTAATTCTTTCTTTTTGCACTATATCCTTATATGCAATCTTTATTTCATATATTACCACGATTGAATTAACTAGTTCTATGAATCCAGTGTTCATCTTGTTGTGCTGATGAGGTGTGGCAACTTGAATCAATGCATATATGTGCCTGGTCTTAAAATGTACCTGAGTGACTGACTCCTGTTACCTACATGGAGTAGCATAGGCTACACACCCGCATTCTCCATCCAACTATATCTTGTACAATTCTTTTCAATTACTATTAATCCTTTCCATGTCGCCTTCCAATTTAAACATAGTGTTTATTTTGTCATACCTCTTTTTCCTTTCCGTTCAGGATTCCATATTAGTGCTTGAATGATGATGATGATGATGATGATGATGATGATGATGATGATGATGATGATGATGATGATGATGATGATGATGATGATGATGATGATGATGATGATGATGATGATGATGATGATGATGATGATGATGATGATGATGATGATGATGATGATGATGATGATGATGATGATGATGATGATGATGATGATGATGATGATGATGATGATGATGATGATGATGATGATGATGATGATGATGATGATGATGATGATGATGATGATGATGATGATGATGATGATGATGATGATGATGATGATGATGATGATGATGATGATGATGATGATGATGATGATGATGATGATGATGATGATGATGATGATGATGATGATGATGATGATGATGATGATGATGATGATGATGATGATGATGATGATGATGATGATGATGATGATGATGATGATGATGATGATGATGATGATGATGATGATGATGATGATGATGATGATGATGATGATGATGATGATGATGATGATGATGATGATGATGATGATGATGATGATGATGATGATGATGATGATGATGATGATGATGATGATGATGATGATGATGATGATGATGATGATGATGATGATGATGATGATGATGATGATGATGATGATGATGATGATGATGATGATGATGATGATGATGATGATGATGATGATGATGATGATGATGATGATGATGATGATGATGATGATGATGATGATGATGATGATGATGATGATGATGATGATGATGATGATGATGATGATGATGATGATGATGATGATGATGATGATGATGATGATAAATCTATACCCATATAATATTAGTTTATCTTCATTTTTCTCGTGTAATAATTACTTTTCGTGTAATTAATCGTAATTCTAGACAAAATCAATCAATAACACACACACATGCACACATGCACACACACAAAACAGGTTCAATTAAATCGATAATGAATATAACTCCTATTGAATTAAATGAAACGTTCAATAGAAAAAAATTACGTACTCATCAATCAATCGATCAATATCTATACATAATAAACTGATTATTATTCATAATGTAAATAGGATTACACTGTTCTTACAAAATCATAATCATCGTGTAATAATAATCATCATAATATTACTGAATAATCTGTATTAAATCCTATCGGTAAAACTTGTTTGATTATTAATTAGTTGATTATCATTGAAATTAGATCTAGACAAGTGAATATATCTAATCAAAATACAATGTCTACTAGAAGGAATCACCTTCTAGAAATTAATGTTACTAAGGAGACTAATAATAATCATAGTAACTATTTACAAAATAATGAAATCGAATTTGAAATGTTTCATTTAACAAATAATTTATTGATTATTTTATTAAGTGTATTATGTATTATTATAATATTATTATTACTTATTTATATTGTATATCGTCGATTACGACATCATCATCATTCACAATATTTCAATAATCCATTCAAAATTCATAATAAGAATAAGAATAAGAATAATAATGATGATGAATATGTTTGTTTTACAAAATCAAATCAAGTTCCATTTAATCGTTATACACAAATTCAAACACCAGAATTATCATTGAAATCAATGAATATACCATTGAAATCATTTCATAAATCTAATGATCCATTCACTTATTATACAAAGGATCAAAATGATGATCACAATCATGATGGTGATGATGATGATGATGATGATGATGTGAATGATGATTTCTATCGTGAATTTAATGAATCTAAACCAATTTATAATTATACTGAACATTATCAAACTAGTTATATTAAATCAAATGTAATACAATCTACACAACAATATATTGAAGTAAGTTAGTATTATTACATTAGAAATAATGATTGCGACTATAATGTATGGACAAACCAATAAGATATAAAATAACATGTTTTGGAATTTAGCGCGAAATTCATTCATCCATTGCGTTTAAGAGAGAGCTTCAGGATTTTTGTTAATGTCAGTTCATGATGAATACTCTTAGATCTAATTCTTAACCCTAACCATCCAACTGTAAATCATAATCCTTATTCGTCACGCAAGTTTATAACTCTCATTTAGCAAGTAGGTGAACATTCTCAAGGTCACTTTAAAGTCACTTAAATGTCGTCCAAAAATTATAGTCTCTGAGAAATAATCAATTCTCATATATATCATATGATGGAAAGTATTATTTAAGAGAGAGAGAGAGAGGAAAGTATCAAGTTTTAACCATGCAGAAACTTGAAAAAACAGGCGTTTCATCCAATTTGGGACTCATAAGCTAGACGTAACTGCATCTCAGAACTCATGTTTACTTTGGGACTCGAACTCAATACCGTTCGCTTCAAAAGCTATCATATTATTCACTTAGCTACTGATCCCTAATAATTGCATGCTTTTGCAATAGGGTGAAGTTTTAATTCACCTAGTATTATTTATAAAAATCTTCTGATTGATGTTTGGGGCTGAAATTTGTGGTTGAAAATACAGATTATACAATTTAAAATTGTATTTTTGTGATGAGACGAAATTATTCTGTTTAATATTAGAAAGAGGTTTTGTGGATACTATAACAATTTAATGATTAAGTTCATGAGCCAATCAAAGCTAGACCTCAAACCATTGGACGGCCATTTAGTCCTATTGTGGGAATCCTTGGTTCGAATCCCATGGGGCGGGATCATGAATACTCACTGCTGAAGAGTCCTATACTATGACGAAACGGCCGTCCAAAGAAATAAATGAACTTCATAATGGTCATCTTCATCATTAAGTTATATCGGTTAAAAAGCAGGTAAAAGCCGAGTAAAACTAGATATCTTTTATTCTATTCTATAACTAGTCCTTAGTGTTCATTCTATAACTGAAACAGAATTAAATCTAAAATCTTTAGATTATGTGATAAGAACGATGGAGTCAAGTTACTGAGATGGAACCAGTAAAGAATTACACTTTAGTGATGAGTCTTAAAGTTAATCAAAACAACTGTCTAATGCCTTTTTGGTCATCATAGTTCTCCAGTAAATTTATCTTTACACTAAAAATTACTCACAAATTATGCAAAATCTTTGCAATATCAACTTCATTTACATTGTCTTATTATTATTATTATTATTGAGTTTCCTTTTTTATTTCTTGATGGATATTGACAATAAATATTGAGTGATCGCCAGTTTACATGTTAACAGTTCGGTCAATCAACATCTGAATAATATATTATTCTTTTTGATGGATAGTGCCAGCTGCCAAGATGCCTCTGATTGGCCTCTTTTATAACTTGTACAGTAAAATGTCGTCAAAACTTTTCACAAACTCACGTGAATAGGTTATGCAATGAATTAATATAATGATCTGCTAAAACAAACAAGGAAACAAAAAAACATGTTGAAATATCTAGGTGGCAGGAATAGGTAGCGAAGATATTCAAGCAGGTCGCACATATTTCAAAATAATAACGATGCGATTCGTGTGAAACATCCCATTTGAATGTTGATGCCCATGCTCAACATGTCACAATTCGTTTTACCCAGAAAGAAAATCAAAGATGTACAATATGTACAATATATACCTATAAATGAATGAGTTGTACGAATAAGTCAGAATGGGTTTTGTGGAGATTTTAGAAATTTCATTGGTTGAAAACATTAGTCAATTGAACTTAGACCACCATGGAGAACCTGGAAGCACTGGACGGCCGTTTCGTCCTAGTATGGGACGCCTTAGCAGTGCGCACCCACGATCCCGCCCCCCGCGAGACTCGAACCCAGGACCTATAACTCCCGCGCCAAGCGCCTAACCAACTAGACCACTGAGCCGGCGTCCAACGGTGTTAATGTCTAACTTCAACCAATCCACGAAGTTGCGCCACTGTACACCATTGTCTTCAGAGAGTTACTATCTGACAACTGAGCCGCTTGAATTCCACTGGTCACTACTTCTCACTAGAACTCCAGGAGTATCTCCTGAAGTCAGTCACTAGTGAGCAGGTGATTATTATCAGAATGGGTTTTGTGGAGATTTTAGAGTTAATTTAAACAAAACCTTTCAATAGTGACTATATTTTAATTAATGACAAACTTCATTCATGTATAATAAGTTGATTTATCACTACTAAATTACTAATAGTAACAGAGGAAATTGTTTAAACCAACTGTGATAATCTATCACGTGCATCGGGAATATAACGAAGTATTAATCATTAATAATGGTATCTATATTCATCTGTTTTTGATGAAGTTTTGTTCTCTGAACTGAATGGTCTGATTATGGCACTTTTATTGTTATTCTGAACGACATTATCAACATTAACTTCAGGTAATATCGTTCAGACTAACAATAAGTACTCCACAATCAAATTATTGAACTCAGAGAACAAAACTTTATCAAAATCATTCATGTTAGCTACAAATCTTCTCCATCATCTACTATATTTATCTCTTTTCAGTATAAGTGTATACATATTTCTCACTTTATTCATATTATTTTTAGTCGGCTGAATTAAAAAGAAGAAAAGAACATTTCCATAAATCAACAAATGATAAAAAAAAATCAGAATCACATTCAATAGTTGAAAACAATCGTAAAGGTATTCGTCGTGTAAGTAGTACACCAAATTTACCGGTAAGTGATTACATTAGTATATTCAGGGAAAAATGATATTTTAATTATTATTATTTGTCTAACATAATGTAAAATTTCTTTTCAATATTACTTACTTACTTACTTACTTATGCCTGTTACTCCTAATGGAGCATAGGCCGCCGACCAGCATTCTTCAACCCACACTGTCCTGGGCCTTCTTTTCTAGTTCCATCCAATTCTTGTTCATTTTTCTCATGTCTATCTCCATTTCCCGGCGTATTGTGTTGTTTGGTCTTCCTCTTCTTCCTCCTTTGGCCTTAAGGATTCCATGCGAGGGCTTGTCTTGTGACGCAGTTGAGTGATTTCCTCAATGTGTGTCCTATCCAGTTCCAGCGCTTCTTCCTGATTTCGTCCTCCGCTGGGATCCGGTTTGTTCTCTTCCACAGTAGGTTATTGCTAATAGTGTCCGGCCAACGGATCCGAAGTACTTTGCGTAGACAACTGTTAATAAACACCTGTATCTTCTGGATGATGGCTTTCGTAGTTCTCCAGGTTTCCGCCCCATACAGTAGAAATGTCTTGACATTTGTATTGAGAATTCTGACCTTGATGTTGGTTGACAAACAGTTGTTTTGAGCTCCAGATGTTCTTCATTTGTAAATATACTGCTCTTGCTTTGCCGATCCGCGCCTTCACATCTGCATCAGATCCATCGTGTTCATCAATGATGCTGCCCAGATATGTGAAGGTTTTTACATCTTCCGAATTTTCTCCGTCAATTGTGATTGGATTGGTGCATGCTGTGTTGTATCGGAGAATCTTGCTTTTTAATATTGGGTCATAGAATTTTTTGGGTTTTATTGAGATCACAAATTGATCTAATTTACAGAACCAATGGTAATATTAAAGCACTGGACGATCATTTCGTCCTACTATATAACTCATCAGTAGTTTAAATTAGACCAATGAATGACTTCAAGTAAAAGATTATTTTATTGAGATTATCTTTAAAATCAAAAGAAAATTTAAAAGAATTAAATCTATGAATATACAGGTCATCTGCCAACAGTCTCCTAAATGAACTATTAGATTCTCATTGTTAACTACATCATAACTGAATATCTCATCTATGTTGAATGAAAGAAATGTGACTGTTTATAGTTTATTTAAACTTTAATTATTAACTTAGAGTAAGTACAAATTATTATGATACAACTATTTAGAATTGCAA